GGGAACTGCTACTGGAGCGTCCCAACTACTTTTTTTCTACGAAATGTAATACAAATCCTAGATTGTTATACCTCGTTAGATAGCTGATAAAACATAGATATTTTAAAACACATCTGCCGAACAATTGCCATAATATTTTTTTTAGATATCCCTTCGAGAAAAATAAACTTTCTGATATTTTTTTCAATTTCTTAACATTCACTTATCTACTACGGCCTATTCAATTAACTTATGGACTATTTTAATGATTGACGTCCTAAAGCATCTTATTACATATGTTAAAATGCAATAATAGTAATAATAACACACACAAAATAAAAATAAATACATTTAGTAGCCTAAAAATCGGCAATTTTCAATAAAAACATTAAAAGTTGAATATCTCGAAAAGGGTTAAGTTTAGGGTAGGGTGTTTCATAATGAAATAAGTCAGAAATGATGGGTACTACACGCCCTTAACGGATCTAGCACGACTTTTCCTGTAACCCTGTATACTCACTTAACACACGCATTTACTTTTTTCAATAAAAGCGTTATGAGTCTAAATATTTATTTCCGTTTTATCCAAAATTTCGATTATCCGAAAGCACTTGGATCCACATCAATTAGGATATTCGGGGTTCTACTGTATATAGTTTTTATTGTCAAGCACACAAAAAAATACAAACAACGCTCCAAAATTTATCAAATTCTAGCAGCTACTTTCCTGGCAAAAGGCAGAGTTCTATTACTTTCGGGACCGGTATTTCACCTAGTAAAATAACACTCGTGTGTCAAAGTTTTATTCTAAAAACTGTTATTCCACTATTATAGCTCAAGCTGTAATTGTAACTCAAACTGCCTTTGCGGAACAAACTGTTTTTGTGGGATCGACATGAAAACTGGCAATCTAGAGGATGAGGAATATAAGTATATTCCACTTCCAAGGCTATGCCTTCTGTGGATTTTTTATTTGGTCAACTGCGAATACGAAATACATTATATACTTTACTATACTTCAGGGATACTCAACTAGATTTTGAAATGGCGCTACATAATTTCTATTGAAAATTATTATTGAATGATTTTTAAATAAAACATTTACGTCGATTAAACAAACTATTATCGAGTTTGCATTCCAACTCTCTGCGCACAGCCATATATCTAGCTCAACAACAGTGCGTAGATGTTTTCGGTAAGAAAATTTGTTGGTAAAAGATGCCTGAGATTTGTCAAAAGTCCATGACTACACTCATTTCTCGTTCACCTATTCCAACATTAATACGTACCTGTCTGTCTTTATAAATACTTACCACCAGTGTCTCCAGCTATACCACGGTATACAAAAAAGATGAAACTGCCACTTGCTATAACCATGTTTCCTAAATAAAACAACAGATAGTACCGAATACACCATTTATTCAACCACGCTATAAATAATGTGAAATAGCTAGGAGCAAAAGCAGAGTATAAAATATTAGCCTCATCCTCGCTACTGCTTACAATTATAACGAGCATAACCGTATAACCATTAACCATGGAATGTAAAATTAAAGATTATATTGCACACCCATTTCGGAACAACTAGGAGGTATGCATCTAGCACTGTAATATAGGTACGTTTCTATTTTCCACGGCGTTTTTTTGCAATATCATGAATAATTATAATTTTACGTTCATTTTGAATTAGATGCAAAAGTTATGGAATAATTTTTCTTTTTTTTTCTTCAAATACACACATCCCTATAGCATGTTAGAACTAGGCATTGTGTCCTCTAGTTAATGGCCCGCACTGAAACATACTTTGCTGATCATGCTCTAGATATACTATATCTCAGATTTATAGTAAAAATGTTTGCACTATTCTGGCTTTATGGGCACACATGGCCCATGACTACGGTCCCAGCTTGATGTTTTGCCCTCCAACAGCCCAAAAATCAAACGAAAGTTAAAAAAATAATATCTATATATACCGTATATCTCGCTGGCCTGGGCCTCCTTTAGCCGCAGGCCCGGATCATCCTATGTGTCTATATAGCTTGAGACGGCTCTGATTTAAAAAGAAAGATTGATTCAAAGTAGCTTTGGCTTAGTATAAAAATATGCAGGTTCTCAGTTGATGAAGTTGTTATAGAGTGATAAGAAAAAAAGCCAGTTAAAATCTGAAAATAGTAGTATCTACACTATGTCTTTTGCATCCAATTCACAATAAACATCATACAGTTTTGACCTCCCGTTGCCACTATCATTACGAATATTAATCCAGTATTAACAGCTATGCTGTATAGTAAAATTATGTCAAAATATTTTGAATCCAGTAACTGTTAACAGTGAAAACTAAAAGCTGGCCCGTTCATATCTAGAAAAGCAAGTCAAAAATATGTAATATATAAGCGTAGCCCAGTGGCGTTTCAAGAGAGGGAAAATTTCATTACAAAGTATTGATATTTTTTTCATGAGATCCTTTCGTTAAATCGATTTTTCACTATACAGTGACTGTGCACTAAATACAGTTGAATACACAGATTTTATAACAAAACTTAACTATTTTTGACTCAACACTGTGTAAGATTAGCCTGTCTGCCGTATCTCTCGAGAATAGTCGAGTGCACTACACAAAATGTCACCATTCGGTAAACTATTTTGACTCGTATCTTTTAATATCTCAGAAGCGAAGCAGATCTATTACTTTATGGTAGTATCTACACTATTCAAAAAATTAAGGGAACACGGGAAAAATCCAAATTTTTCGGTGATTTTTGACAGGCTGTAATTCGGTGAAAAATGGTCGTATCTAGACCTCAAAAATGACGGAGCTTTAATATTGTATTTTTTACGTTTTTTAGCAGAAAAATTTTAAGAGCAATGTTTCTCATAAAATTCTAATAGATAGCGCAGATAATGTAAGGGAATTTCCGGAAACTGGAATAAAACCCCTAAAAGATTTGATTAAAATCTTTGAGGAATGTTTTCTTGTTTCCTTAGTATTGATTTTAAAAGAGTCAAAAGTTACTTTTTGCCTTGTTGGGGTATAAAAAACCAAAAACATTAGCCTTCCGATTAGAGGTTCCAAAAATGCGGTCGTTTTTCCAAAAGAAGGTAAAATGTAACTTTCTTTACTTTCTTGAAATCAATACCAAGGAAAAAAGAAAAAATCCTCAATGATTACAAAAAAATTTTATAGGGGCTTTAGTCCAGTTTTCGGAAATACCCTTACATTCTACGTGCGATCACTGGTTACCGAGAAATCAGTGGTTAGTGACAAAATGATCCTTTTTCATTTAAAGTCAGATATCTCCTCGCCAAATGATCGTATCGAGATTTTAAAAACAGAATATTGAAGCTCAATAAACGGGTGATCTGATCCATCTGATGGAGTAACAGAAACATTTTTTTGAAGCCCGTGGACTAAAAGGAAGGAAAAATTTGTTTGTATTGTCTGTTAGAGTTGCACGAAACCCTTGCTCGCAAAATTTTTCGTCTAAGAAACCTGAAAACTAGAATTTTAAAGCTTCAAAATGATTTTTTTAGAGTCTAGATACGACCTGTTAAAAATCACTGAAAATTTTGGATTTTTATCTTGTTCCCTTAAATTTTTTGAGTAGTGTATATGAGCAGTTCATCACATGCGAAACACATTGAGGGATCGACAGCACGTCATCGGATTACATGAAATGTATACTGACATTTGAGCACTGTTGACCCTGAATGCGTCGATTGATTAACCTATTTATCCAGCCATCAGATTAGCAATACTAGTAAGTTTTTGGAAAATATGCCAAATAATGATACTACACTTTTTCAGCAAGGTTACCTTTTGATTCATAGAATTGAAAACCATTTATACCAAGTTCTCATTTTTTCCTAATCAGTCGTTTTATGTAATCTCACAAATAAAATTGATGGACAATAACTTCGTAACCATTTATTGCTTTAGATACAGGAATGACATAATCATTCTTTGATCTGAAATGCAGTAATCTTTGTCGCCTTACCATTATTTCAAAGCTAACTAAATAGCAAGATATAAGCATTTAAGTATGTGTGTGTTGCACTTGATATTTTTATATCTATTTTTTGATACTATTAACACGAGTGCTTTGTTTTCAACAACTATACTTCCTGGTCCTGGATATAGTAGTCTGCCCTGATACTGCCTCTAGTTGGATTAAAATTTATTGAAAAATGTTTTTAAATTGCAAATCTATGTGCTTGCTTTTTTACGGAGCAGTTACTCCAAATTTGACATGGCTGTCAGTTATTGCTCATCAGTGTAAAAATATATCAACCTTCCCAAAGTACACGCTACGAATAATGTAACTAAATAAATAATATTTTATCTAGATGTTTCGATACTTCACGGTTTTCCGCGTCTTGAGTCATTCTGCAAAAAAAGGTACACTGTCGTCGTATGAGTTGGTTTAAAAAATAGGTCCTTAGGTCCGATTTCATAGAGTTTTTCATCAACAAAATGTAAGCTTAAGCATAAATTGATTGATGAAGCTGTTAGTTCTGAGCGCACGCCATAAATTAACTGCAAAGACAAAAATACGCAGCACTAAAATATGCATTGGATTTATTTTATTCGAGCAGTTTTTTTGGAATACTCACCAGTCAAAAGACCAAATTATTAGCAATTTAATACATTATATTTGTTATTCAACATTCACTGATCTTATAGGGTTAAGCTTAATCAACTTCCTCAAAATCATGGTATGAAATCGAACCCAAACATCAATATACAACCACAACATTTAGTGCGACAAGTGCCAAAGCATTGTAGTGCCGAAAAATTATGAAATCCACATATTCAGTGCTAACAAAAAACAAAATCTGTCCATAATCTGAACAGGCACCAAACGTTCAAGATACAGTGAAATAAAACATAGAAAAAACTTGCAGCCAGAAGCGAAATGTATAGTGTCAGTGCAAAATGTTAGTAGCCATTATCAACTCCATAAGTTTTCGGCAACATGCATATTTTCGATTAAACGATAAAAGGGCATCAACGAAATAAAATATCTTTGTAATAATTCATATTTATTGCAAATAACACTGTAGTTAATACAATGCGCAGATATATAATCTTTTGATAGAACCAAAACCAACGTAAACTTGACATCAAGATTCAGCTGTTAGCAATGTTTACTGGAAGATCTGTAATTATTTTCAACACGGCCTTGAATTTTTAATTTCATGGAAGACTATAACACAATTAATTATATGATGTATGTGGTGACAAAAAAGACAAAAAAGGGATTGGTCACACTCAAATCTTGCTGTCTAGTTCACTAAATAGATTTTTTTTTAGAAAAATTGTACATAAAATTATTGTAATTGACTTATACAAAAAATGTATGCTTAGGGAGGACACACTCTAAATCTTTTTTAACAGGTAAAGCTAGTTCAATTTCTTAGTAATACATCTTACAGGAGTATTCAAATGGAAGTTCTCCCTTAAGGGCAGTAATACGATCAAACAAAAAACAAAAAAAAAACACTGAATACTTCTTCATTCAAAGGGAACACATACTTTCTCTCACATTGCATAAATAAATTTTTCATAGTATCAATAAATAACAAAATTACGTATTGACACAAAATAGGTGTTCCCTCTGTAGATTATCACAAAAAGATACAGCTTCAATACATACCTCAATGATCTATTTAAGTCTTAGGCATCATCATTTTATCTAACTCTAGACTTTCTACCCCAGTGCAAACACCTAATACAGCTGAAGCATTAGTGAAAACTAGTGAGCTATTAGGTTATATTAAATTTGGTAGCTACTATTTACGACAAATGCACTATGTTTGGAATATCTCAAATTTCATAAATTTCACTACATCCCCTCCTCTATAATCATAGTAGTCGTAGTTAGCCTGTAGAAGTCGTGGCATGAGATGACAGTAACTTTTAATGAGTATGAGTTGAAATCCGATAATAAATACGCTCCTATCTAAATCGCGGATTTCTGAGTTACACAAGCTTTTACAGTATCACCAGGCATGATATTTTTACCCTTTCCTTAGATAAAAATGAAGATGCCTTGCATGCATGTTTAAAATCGATACGTTGGCAAATATAAATAATATCACTATACAAATCTAATAAGTAACCTATAGTGTGCTGGTAAAGTTAGTTTGTAACTTGTAGTAACCTCAGCATAAAAAATATTATGTCAGTTAATTCTAAAACTAGATTAAATAAAATCTAGCAAAAAAAAATTGTCATAGATAATGTCATCTGCCGAGAAATACCCTCTTCATAAATGCTTTTCAAATTTACTGTTTTCACAAATATTACTTATCATACACATTCCAATTGTTGTCTAAATTTTAGCTGAAAAAATGAACGGAAATCTTTTGAAAATTACATTCGCTAACATGAATACGAGTGATATACTGATATTGCCTCTGCTAGCGCACAACAAATAAAAAGACGAACTGATATCTTGGATGAAAAATCGGTGTCAAAAGATTTGAATATATATTAAGTTTCTTGTACTGTAAAGTGCCAAATTGAACGCAAGATCCCAAACAATCTTTAACCATTGAAAAAAATGTTTAATTGCTAAATTGGTATGAGAATACTCCCAGCGACTATATCAGTCCCATATTGCAATCCGTAGAAAATTTCTAATAAAATGACTCATGTATCGCAAAAACGTAAATAGATAAAATGATGTTACAACTGAATCGGCCACTGCAAAAACTTTGTAAGTCATATAATTTCAATGTTCAACAAATAACTCAGTTTTAAAGTACTATTTTGGACTTAACATAGTTTTTGAGTTCTTAGAAAATTGAAATTTTGACAGTAAATGGAGTTAGTGGTATACAGAGAAATCCAAATATCTCTGACGAGGTAATGTGTACGACAGTTTGCTAGGCAAAATGGTGCTTCTATTTCTTTCTAACACACGTATTGTACGCTTCTCGCGCTTCTTCCTCGTACACATTACGATGTCAGTAGTATATGGATTTCTCTGTATAACTTAAAAGATATTGATCAACACTGCAGCAATATAGCACTGAACCTGTATTACGTGATATTATTTGAAGGGAAAATAATCTAGTGACTTATGCGGTGCATACCTTTAATGATGCGTTTTCAGTAAAGAAAGTATGTTGGAAAAAATGCGCTTCAATTATATCGGTTCATATGCAACCAGGTTAAAGACCCTTAACGTTGAATAACTGGCTACATTCGTTTGTTGTGCTTGTCAGATTAAAACAAAGACCATACACCACCGTACCTTTTGCAAGGTGAGAACAATTTACATGACGAAACGTTTGACATATAATTTGACTGTTTTACTAATATCCAGATCTATGTAACAAGAATTTTCGAAGAGGGTGAACCCTGAGTTAATCTATGTTAAGAATAGAAAATCAATGCAAGCTTTATATTGAATTTCTTCAGATTGCGTTTAACCTTTCATCAAGATATTACAACCAGCTAAATATACTTATGCCTGTGACACTATATCCTGCGTGCATGATAAACGGCAATGAGAAGCTAGCTTCGAAAAATTCAGTTTCCAAAAATAAAAGTATAGTTAATGTGAAGTCATACTTATTAAAATTCATCCAGAAATATCGAACGCGCAGGATACAATTAACAATTTGAGGCTGTTCGAGACTTCTTTTGGAGGAAAAAGGATTACGATATCGATTGTAACCCAAGTCACAAAAGGATACCAGGGAAAGTGTACTCCAGTTAGCTAAAGAAGATATGTTACATTTGGTGTAAATGTAAACTGATAAATAACCTTTTTTTGGCGATTCGAGTTCTACTTTTAATTGAATAATGCACTACAAACTAATAATTGTGAGGCCGCTAAATGAAACCACATAGGTTTGAACGACAACCAGGATGACCTTTTTAAGTACAAATGACAATCCAGATGACAATATAATTGAAGACACAAGTTGATAAAGGTGTCATGTAACATTTTTTCTAAAATTGCTTTTTTGCATTAAACTGACCTGAAGGAGTGATTGTTTCATTCTGTGATTACCTTGTTGCAAAAACAAGATGATAACAAACTAATTAAACTAAATATTTCAAATTTCAATAATAAAGAAAACGTTTCTTCAACCAGGGTAGCCTTTTTCAAGTACAAATGATAATCCTAATGACAATATAATTGTCATTTGTTCTTGAAAAAGGTCACGGTGGACTGACATGTCGTGTTAGTAAAAGTAATTGTATTGTTGATTAAAATTTCTAGAAAATTTAGATGTTTCAAAAGTTTTATTTCGAACTCGAGATCTCAAAAATTGTATATACAGGGTGTCCGCTAAGTTGGGGTTTTCCTGTACACGACGTGTAGATCTTGAAAACATAAGCAATTTTTCTTAGTACCATATACACCAATGTCTTAAGGGAACCGAGATAAAGGGCTCTGCAACATCAAAAATATCTGAATACCGTCCTGTAGCCGCGACTCGCGACATCCCCGACTGGCACTAGGACACTAGCTCAACCCGACGACAGAACTGGGTCAGGGTCAGTGTGTCAGGTCAGTATGCAACCTTCAACCGACGGTTACGGTCACGCGTGTAGAGGTAAACGAACCCGTATAATCGATTGCGTTTCAAAAAACAACAAACACTAGAGACGTGGCTAGAGAAGTGCAAGTATCAAAAACTAAAGTGTGGCAAACGCTGCGTGAAGAGGAGCTGTATCCGTTTCACGTCCAACGTGTACAAGCCCTTCAACCTGACGATTTTCCAGCAAGAGTGGGGTTTGGTGAGTGGTTGTTGCATCAACATGACAATAATCCGGACTTTTTGAAGTGCATATTGGTGACGGACGAATCTACGTTCACGCGTAATGGGGTGAATAACTTTCGCAACACTCATGTTTGGTCAGCAGAAAATCCGCACGCTGTCCGTCGGGCACATTTTCAACAAACAGTTTCGGTGAATGTTTGGGCTGGCATGGTGAACGGTATGCTCATTGGATCATTTATTCTCCCAAATCGATTGGACGGGATGCAATACCTAGACTTTTTACGCAACATTTTGCCTTCCTTGTTAGAAGATGTGCTATTAAGTGTAAGACAATCAATGTGGTTTCTGCACGATGGTCATATTTGTTACCTCTGTCCGTGGTCTGCACCACCGCCGGCGTCTGCTCGGTAGCTGATTTCATTTTCTGTTGGAGCGGTATGATTTAGGGCAGAGACGTACTTAGCCCTTCTCGTCAACTGGAGAGAGAATACTTTTTCCTTTATTTTTTTTTTTACTTGGTCGCCCTCGTTTCACTACACATTACCTTTGTTATTTCAAGGGTAGTTGTTTCTGAAAAGGAAAACCCCAACTTTGCGGACACCCTGTATAGACAATGGAAGTTCGAAATAAAACTTTCGTAATTAATTTAATAATAATATTATCATCAGAATTGTTATTTGTACTTGAAAAAGGCCACCGTGTTGGCCAAAACGTCGTGTCATTGGCTGATAGTATATTTCTAATTGAATCTATGCGGATTATGTTTCTATATAATGGCTGTTACTGTAGCGCACAATCCTATTCCCTTTTTGTGGCCTAGATAATCGACACCGCAGAAAAACAAAATCGTGATCTTCAATGATGGAATGTTAATCAAATCCACAAGGCCGCTCTGTTACCAACATAACGGACACAAAATAAAAACGGACCTAAATGCGAAAGCCTGTGTGTGCAGACATTCTACATGTTGTTAAGTAAAAAGCTTACGACCTAAGTATAGAACTAAGAACTCGGTTTGACAGGCGAGTTGATGCCTAGGGCGTTAAACAGTTTCGTTTTCAAACCGGCTTTTTCTGTATCCGGTGTCCGGGCGGTTGACGTCTGTCGAAAACAACCAATACGTATTCTCAGCATTTTTACGTATTAAAATTATTATAATGGTATTAAAAGTAGAAACCTCGACAATTTCAGATGCATGCAATGGTTGTTAGATTATTTTTTACGGAGTTTTCTATTTAACCATCATGGATATTAAAAGCTTTACAAAGCTATCCATTCATATACGATACAAGCTCCAATTTGGACAATATTTAATAAAACGATCTCTAATGACACATATAACTTTCGTTAAATTGCATGATTTGCATCCTACTATGAAGATTTTTTTTGTACTTCAACTACCACGAAGGCCTAAGGCCTAAACACCCGTGGGGTACCGTGGGGCTATGGGATACAGGGGAAAGGGGGGACGCCACACGGACTCTGGCGAGGGAACACGTGTGCATGCAACATGCACACATTCTGGCCCCGCCTCAGAAATCCGCCGGGTGGTACCTTCGCGTTCGACAGTCAGAGACCGTCTACCACCTACGGACAATCACAACATCCATAACCAAGAGAAAAATTTCTCTTGGCACGGGATTCGAACCCGCGCAGTGCGCGGCGACTGATCAGGAGACCGAAGAGTATACCACTCCGGCCACCGCTGTTGCCTGAAGATGAGTGTTCTTTAAAAATATTCTGTTGCATGTCTTGTATACAAAATACAGGTAAATATTTTCGCTATTGGCACCTCTGAAAGTTTTATTATTTTTGTATCATAGCGTTAAATAATTTTCGCAGCACTGAAGGTTAGTGAAGGGAATAACTCGATTTATATAAATATAAAGATGAATTCAACAGTATAATACATTGATATTTTCAACTTGGTTCAACACATAATTTCGACTACATCACTGAAGTGTCGTGGCTTCTATTTCTATCTATCTAACACAAATGAACTACCTGCAAATAAGTTCCATATTTCTAAATATACTATATATATGATCTTTACATATGCTATGTCATTGTTTTTTTATTTAGTTAATCCTCAAATACTATGAACGAAGATTTAAAATAATAATTTCAGACTAGCACACATAGGTTTTTTGTATAGACATTTTAGAAAAAGTGATTCGATTACCGTTGGAAAAAATTAGCGATTAAAATGCGAAGCGCGTTGTTCTGACAGGTCTAAAAATTGGCTGTAACATGAAAGAAAATTCAGAGGGAAAAAGTTAGATGAACTAAACACTAGTGCACTTTGGATTTCATAGATTTGCACACGGAATAGTAATAAGCTATTTAAATGGATATTTCAGAATCAACGAGTAGTTAATTTGTTAGATGGAATCTTCATTCAAATCAAGATTTTATTTTTGAATCCTATTGTAATATTTTACAATCCCCTTATTCACCAGTATCCAGTGATGACATAAAATTCAGCTTTTTTATATGTAAATGTAGATATTCCGAATAAAAATTCCATCCATATCAATCTATAGAAATCTAAAACTTATTGACTAAAATCTGGAATAAAATGTTTATCTATTTTTTATCTTAAGACCTTAAATTGAACGAGTCCAAAAGTTAAATCATGGTCATATTTGAAAATCCGTATTTCAGCTTAGAAGAGAAATGGAAACAAAATATTTCATTATTTCAGTAATTGTGAAATCAATACAGAAATGTGACTAAAATGGAGTTGATAAATGCTCTTATAGTTCTGTGTGTTCCGAAAAAAATAATAAAATAAACTCAACAAGCACTAATATTTAAAAACCCACAGCCAGACTATATCACTACACATTCCAGATAAGAACCATTACTATACAAGCTCCAGATTTCAAACTTGGAAAAACTTGATTCAAGTTGAAACAAAAACTGCACTGTATTGAATGGCAGCTATCTGGAATATCAAAGTGCGAAAAAGAAAAATTACAATCTACTCTATAAAGCAATAATATACATCCCAAATACTGTTTTCGTACATTCACTATGCATAGCCAGTAACTGTAGCAATGTTCATATCAAAGACAGAAAATAGTTAATCTGCAGTACTACCTTTTTACTAAATGCCCCCCCCTCCTCTCTGAAAATCATGACTTACACAGAGAGTCCGTCATTTCACTTATGCCAAAAGTCAGTTAATCAAGAAAAGCCGGATTATTTGGAACCAGATTCAATAACCAAAATTATGTTCATATTTAAATGTATGCGTGAAATTAATTTGGGTTTTATGAATCCAATGAACATAAAGGCTGCGCCATCTTTCCTATCTTTCTGCCATTAGCGTCTGTTTTAATGACATAAGGTTATTATACTACAATTGCTACTACACTTTTTACAGGCTATGCATAATAGTGCATATCATAGAAAAGCCTCACGCATTCTTAAGCAAAGCACTCACCTCTTCGCCATCATAGCACATTTCCAGTGATTCCCTAGAGCCCCTGCGTGATGTTTTGTCTTTGAAACTGCCAGATTTGCGTCTATCATCGCTCAGCAAATTTGTTACTTTCGAATTTTTCACGATATCTAAGGCCTAGAAAGTGACCCAGTACAAGTTAAACGGTGTTGCATTCCTGTACTAGTAAGCTAATAGTCATCATACTTTAAGTCAACTTCTGATTATTGTGCTGTCATATACTGATCGTTGAACAATGATAAATATCGAAATCACATGACATTCCAACTCAATATTTTCTATTTCTTCAAATACTTATTTTGTTACTTTGTTACTTCCTCGGTTTCATTAAGAGAGACAGAAACCCCTATGTATTAAGGAGATAAAACACGCTGTATGTTATGAAAATCAAATTATATATATATATATATATATATATATATATGTCAATTTTTATATATATATATACAGGGTGACTTCGAAGTTGAGTCATTAATTTCAACAGTGAGTAGATTCGATCAAAAGAAATGTTTTTTTTTCCTTTAACATTTTTCTGGTAAAATTAAAGTAACAAAGTTATAGCCCTTTAGAAGTTTGAGTACCGCCCTGTCTCAATAATAATATTATGTGCTCGTGTTTGGCAACAACGGATATAATCCGCCTTATCGGTTCATCGCATCGGAAACAAAAAAGCGAAAGAATTTGAAACGCTTATCACGATGTTTTTACAACAATTTTATTCAGTTGTATTCAGTCAATGTGTCAGTCGGTAACGCGTGAGTGAATAGTGGTGCTTGTTGCGTGGCTCAAACGAAATAAAAAATGGCACATGTTTACGAAAATGCTGAACTTGTGGATATGATTGTTATTTAAGGGGGGGGAGTCTTTACAAAATGCTGCAGCGGCATCACGGATTTATGCGGATCGGTTTCCCAATCGAGTGCAACCCCTCGTGCCTTTGTTAATGTAGTACAAAGGGCTCGTGAATCAGGTGACTTAAGACCTCACAGGGGAGGGCATGCCGGTGCTCCAAGACCGCACGATCAAATACAGGTCCGCACTGAAATACTTGTCGGGAGGATACTTTATAAAACAAGGTAACATTTTTTTTTATTTTTACACACATATTTTGGTTTATCTTCCTTCTACAATCATTATCTGAAAATTAATGACTCAACTTCAAAGTCACCCTGTATATATATATATATATATATATATATATATATATATGAAATTAACATATTTATGATAGTTTGGAGAACTGTTGGAGCATTCGGCGCCATAAAAAAGCTAAAATGCCAAGTGATTGAATACAAATTTATCATTTATCTCCGATGAAATCAACTCGAAATGTTAAATCTATTCCACTGAAGTACCCAAGTTACTGAATGAATAGTTAATATTAATATAGTAAGTATAATAAAATCAACTTACTTGTTGAACATGCTGCCGGCATAAAAAAGAGAAAAAGCATTAATAAGCTATGGTTAAGCGAGGAATAATAATAATAATAATGCTACTAAAAAAAAAATCCAAAACCATTTAATATGGTTAGATCTAATAATGCAGAGCTATTTCTAACCGATAAAATAAAAATGTAGAGATCAACCGATGTAGGATTTTCGCCGATACCCATATGTCAGAGGCTGATGTATCATCCATATCGGCTTATCATCTGTTTCCGCATATAATTCGGTCACCTTGAATAGAGCACCCTGGCCGTAAACGCGTCTATAAAAGTGATATTCGCTTGAGCCGCTTTGGTTGCATTATATTCAGTACTCCACAAAAATGTCAAACTTAAAGAAAAGTAGCGCTGTCTGGACATATTTCGACAAAATTTCTGATCAAAAGACTGAAGAATTTAAGTGCAATTTGTGTCCTATGGAAAAACATATCTCTGATATATTTCAAATATGAAAAGAGGAAACAGATCAAATGATTGGAAAAATGTCTCTGATATCAGATATATGGACCTGCCAAATGAAAAAGTTTTTCTGAGGCAGGCAACACTAATGATGCCAAACGAAGCAGGCTAACTCCTGACAATCTGCCTGAATTGAGTTTTAAATATTTTTGAAGCACATGGTTCTTGTTATTTTATAGTATTTTCCATGCTCAGTTTAGTTTTGTTTAGGTTTTTAATCCTTTTCCAGACACTTAAGATAAAATGGAGATTAGGTATCGTTATTTTATACACTTCATATGTAACAAAAGATATTAGTTTAGTGCAATTAAAGAAAATGAATGTATTTCTAGGTATTGTATTTTTTAATTCAATAACATTAAAATCGATTTAGCTTAATTTATATTGGTCTGCCTAGGGGCACATCTATCGGCCGATATGCTGATATATAGTACATATCGGTATCGGTCGATCCCTATAAAAATATGGTATGTAAGAATATCCTCATATGGTTAAACTACGAAACCTCCAAATTGCGGAGTTTTTATTGAGGTTAGGGCTTATACTGATTAAATTAACAGCATAAGTTTCAATTTTCCACGCGCAGTTTTATAGATTTACGGTATGGCAATCTCCCAAATGAATAGATTATTCCTTTTCACGTTAACTACACGCGAATTAACACATCAAAATTATTGCAGATCAAACTTGCAGTGGTTCTTTGGGACTCTGAAGTGAACCAAGAGTAAACTGGAGTATTTGAGATGATCACAGGTAAAAGTAAAAGTGTTTGAAAACGAGCTCTTGTAGTAACAACTCCACAATAACAACGCTGTTCTCGACAGTACAGATAACATACAGAGTGAACAAACTACAAGGAACCAAGGTCTCTAAACAATACAAACTATTCAAAACATTTGAACAAAAAGTAGCAATCAATTTTTTGTTCTTTATATCACATAGGTACTCCAAATCTCATACGGCTTCTTTGACCATTGCCAAGTATTTCAAATGTTCCAAGCACGTTTAACAAACCATTTGAGGTACCCACGGCTTGTATTCATCCCCAATTGCCAACTAAAAATACGTATCTTCAAGGAATTCTGTAAAAGGCTTTCTGTGCTTTTCGACTGTGAATTCATATATGTAACAAAACGCATTAAAATCATTCAAACAGCTGCTTCGCGATGATGAAGCCATCAACTAAGATTGATTTAAAATGCACGGGAAACAATGAACAGGGGATGCAAGAGAACTGATTACAATCAATATTCAAAACTGTGGCTATAAGGAAAACTGTAAATTGGAAAAAACTTCCATTGACTTAATACAAAATCACGAACTTCTTGACACCACTATTTTTTTTTGTTAAGTTCACCCGCGTAATTTGTGGAACTTTTCGTCAATTTGCTCAAAAAATAGTGCAAGCAAAACATACTCTGAACTAAATATTTAAAACACACAGCGAGAATCCAGCGAAAAAGTTTTCAATGACTTCTGGAATAACCACTTACCCAGACTAATTTAGATACTAGAAATGTGAAAAGTTAAAACTCACCTAATAGTGAAGAAAAGTAAGTTCTAGAGAGTACAAATTCTAGCAAATCAGTCAATTACCACCACCACTACAATTGCAAATGCAGGCACTACTGGCATGTGCACAAACAAGAATTGTTTGTTGTTGGATTAGTATGACGTCACCTGTTCCAACAACTAAAGTGTCAAGTTATATGGAATTAATAAGTGCAAATTAAATAAAGGTATTGAGAAATTGTGTTTTTGTATGTAAATTCTGTCATGTGACGTCGCACCAACATATTTTTTATAGGCAGAGAAACTCAATGATAAAAGCTGACAGATACCTTGCCTACCTTACATCCAAAATTAGAAAAAAAATAACACACAAACATGCCTAAGACATTATCAACACACAATATAGAATTTTCAATGATAAATATGGAGTAGAGAGTTTAATTCAAATTAATAGTACGGTGCTGAAAGAGACATAACGATAAGGACAAACTAAACAGAAGTGATATAATGTGCAAAAAAATAGGAAGTTTCAATATCTCAAAACATAGATCATTCAACAATAATAGATCTCCAGCAAAAACTACTTCATCTGTAAACTAACAAATAAAGAACGTTCAATGGCGCATCACAACTAATTGTGCATGTTATGCAAAAAACACACACAGAAACCGACAATTAAGCATAAACTACACGAATCCTCACCTCTTTCCTGCTCCTCAATGCGCAATCCTCCAACGTTTCGGCCGCCTCGTATTTGCCCTGTCGCCTATAGAGGGCGCCGAGGTTCTTTAGGGTTGTTGTAACTGTCGGGGAGTCCACTTTAGCTGCTTTATGCCAGCCGCCGTATTCACCATACGGCGCGTTCTCTCTGTTTTTCGCCTTGTTCTCTTCCCGCTCTTCAGCCACTTGCCAGATCGGTTTGTTATCACCTGGGCAGAAAGAATGTTCATATCACGGCGCAAAGTAAAAGTTATTAGTTATTACTCATGCGCGGATCCAGGATCACCTCCTGGGGGTAAGTATTGTGGGTTGCATACTTTCAGGGGATATTGTCAAGTCGTTTGCACTTATTTTGTTTGTTTGTTTATGAATTACATTCTTTTAAAAAACGAGACAATTACATAACATGCAGATACTTAGAAAAAACAAAATTTGCATCTCTAAGAATTTTCACTGTCCATGAAATATTCCTTCAATTTCCTTTTAAGATTCTTTAAATTACAAGCAGACTTCATATCATTATTCAGTTTATTAAATTCAAGCAATCCTTTCTGAAATATTGATCTGCTAGTTATATTAATAGTGCAATTTTGTAAATGAAAATCTATATTTCCTCTTGTATAATAATTATGGTAATGATTAGTCAATTCTATGTATGTTCTAATATAATGTTTAAATATAAAAGTCAGAACCAAATATGTTTTGAAATTTTTTACATTCAACCACTGCAATTCTTGTAACATAGATTTTATTTTGGTGTACTTATTTTTATTCAATATTATTCTCTCATAGCTTTATTTTGCAGGAGAGATCTTGAGAATACAGCTTCACTGGCAGTGAACAATATAGTAAGTGTGGTAGAATAATTGTATTATGAACTATTATTTTGGAATATGTACCAATGTATCATGACAAGCTCCATAAAAGTTATTTGTCTTTTTGGCAATTTTTGAAATAATGTATTCATAGTGATTCTCAAACTTTAGTTTACTATCAATATTATGTATATACCTAAATATTTAATTGATTCAACATTTTCAATTATTTCAGCATTTGTACTAACTGTGATAGTATTTTCATTTAGGTATTTCCCTATTAGCATACATTTTGTTTTAGAAATATTTCATTTTAGTTTATTTTGCACTTAACCCATTTGTGATTTTTGCCAAGTCAGAATTTAGCATTTTTATAGCAGTGTCTATATAAAATGTATCATCTGCAAATATCTGCATTTTACGATAATCTAAAATATTACAAATGTCATTAATGTATAAAATCAATAGTAGTTTACTACCTGGTAGTACTTGACAAGGGAAATAATAATCAGTAGTGTATTTATTTTAAGTTAAGCTTTCAAACAAAAAACAATGTTGTAACTCCTTCTTTCCCCTTTCCTCATTTCTTCCTGCAAGTCTGATGAAACGGTGTCATTTCTCCCCCTCGATTCTCGCCTGTTGTTATTTCGATTTCATTTTAGCTTAATACTTACATGCAAGTTTCAAGGTAAAATGGAACAGCAGATCTCTCTATTCATGAAGCATCTAAACAACGTTCAAATCTTGTTGCTTACTGACTACCGAGACAATCAAAGTGTTTTACCTGTAGAAGGTTCAATCTGTGCCGACTAGGACAGATAGTAAGCGATCAAACAATGGATATGAGACGATTTCTCAGAAAAATAAAAATAGTAGTCCTGAATGTACAGTAATGGACAAAAGTATATAGACAAATATGAATATTTACCTAAATACCCTTAGAAAACGAATTCATACTTCATTGCTCCATAAACAAATGCGTTATTGGTAGAAAAACTAAATTCCTTGTTTTAACATTATCTGCAATGTAAGAGTAAGAAGCCGCTAATCTCGAGGAAAAACCGTAAGGACCGATTACAATTTGCACGGTTGTATCTTGATTGGAGCATCTGTGACTGGAAGAGGGTATGTTTCAGTAACGAATCCAAGTTCAATATGTTTGGATCAGATGGTGTTCATTACGTTTGACGTCCTAGTGGACAAAGATTGAACCCCAAGTACACTTTGCCCACTGTCAAACATGGAGGCGGGTCTGTTATAGTTTGGGGGTGCTTTTCAGGGTTTGGGATGGGACCTTTACATAGAATAGATGGCATTATGGATAAGTTTGTATACACAGATATACTAAAGCATGTTATGTTACCCTATATGGAAGACAATATGCCCTTAAGATTAATCTTCCAGCAAGATAAAGACCCGAAGCACACTTCAAATCTGGCAAAGAAATTCTTTCTGGATGAAAAATTACCAGTTCTCAAATGGCGTTCAGTCTCCCGATATAAACCCCATTGAAAATCTATGGGAATACTTAGATAAGCAAATACGAGATAAACATTATTCAAACAAGGATTAACTTTTTGCCGCTTTAGAGCAAAAGTTGTGACAGATTGATGAATCTTATATCAAGAAACTTCTACAATCTATGCTGAGACGATGCCAGGCGGTGATTGATACTAATGGTTATGTTACAAAAAATATTAACACAAACAGTTGGTTTTCTATAATTCAATGAACTTTGCTTCTTTTTTCTATAATTGTTTTGCTTTGTCTATATATTTTTGTCCTTCATAGTTCCAGTTTTTTCAATTAATTTTTTATTGAAGGGAGTCTAATGAATTTATTTATGTATAAATGAGTACATATTATGCTATAACGAATTATGTATACAGGTTGGTGTATTAATAAGTTAAAAAATAAATACAGCACAATATTAATTTGTCTATATACTTTTGTCCATTACTGTATGTATCACGCCAACATTTGTAATCCAGTTGGGCGATATTTTGTTTAAAATCTGAAGTTGATTTCAGGGACGTGCTGCCACTGTAGATGGTCGATAAATGAGTTTCACATGAATTTTCTGTTTGAGAGCAATGGTTCTGTAAAACTGGGTAACATTTTTTTACATAATAAGGGTGGGGGGTGCGAGTTTGGTGACATTAGCAAAATTATTTTGACTCGTTTTCCGCAAAATCATGTTCTTATAATAATACCCAGATGTCTCTAAAGATAAAGCGCAATGTAAAATAAAATGCAGAAGTTTAAAACTGAGTTAAAAATACCTTGGACATGGATCAGGAAGAAGGGTTACGGAAGTTAGATTAACCAACAGTTCACCCAGCTGAAGTGACTGCTATTCTCTCCTGTTTTCTAATGTGTACTATATACTTGATCTTTTTAATGCTTTTTCTAGTTTGTTATATTTACAGATGACTCCAACACGACATAATGTATAACTACAGAATATTTACTATGCAAGAACTATAGAAACAGATTTTAAAAATATGTATGGTGGATCAGACCATGAGAACGAGGCCTTGATGACGGCATTGTTTAACCAAAGTGACCGTTCGACAAAAGAACAGCTAATTAGAGTTGACGTGCTTTTGGATCGATAAACCGCTTGTCTCAGATACAGAACCGTTTACAGTTTTACGGAATTCCAGCCCCTGTAAAGCTAGACAGCTAAATTATATTCAAACTTCATTTACCCCGCATCAAAACAAACATGACTTGCGGGCTAGCCAATAAGAGCGTGCGAACTTGGACGTGGGGTACCAGTGGAGTGGCGTAAATGAGATTTGAACACACTATGGATAATATGTATATAGCACCATACTCGATATAGTCTTGAAAACAGTACCGGGTACCTGAAAACGGCTACACGCACCTCAAAATATAAAGGGTATCTCAACAAGAGCGCCGGATTTGAATTTGCCGCCATTTTGTTGTACAAATGCTATGGTGTTTACTTGAGGACAGCTGTCATATCCAGACCAGGCGATTAGACGTCATGGAACAGTATTCAAACGGGCAACGTTTAATTATTGTGAAAACTCACTACATAAATGGAGAAAATTACGGGGAAACAGTTTACAAATTACGTACAATTTTCGGTCTCAGTAATGCGCCAAATGAGTCTACAGTTCGCCGTTTAATTGCGGAATTTGAGACAAAATTCACGTTGCTGAATGTGAAGACCATTCTGTTAGTCGCAGTGCGGAAAAGTGTGGCCGAGAATCCAGGCACTTCCATTCGGCATCGTGGCGAAGAATTGAACCTTACCAGACCCACTCTGCAACAAATTTTGACAAAAGATCTGTGCTGGCATGCATACAAGCTTCAACTGACGCAAGAACTCAAGCCAACGGACCAAGCGCAGCGCCGTGAATTCGTTGATTGGGCGCTGGAGCACCACCAAATTGATGAGGATTTCTCGAAGGAAATCATTTTCTCTGATGAGGCACATTATCAACTGAACGGGTACGTCAATAAGCATAAGCATAAGAATTTGGGGTTCTAAAACCGTCGTGTAATAATCGAACAATCAATGTATCCGCCGCGAGTTCCCGCTTGGTGCGCATTGTGGAGTGGCGCAGTGATTGGACCGTATTTCTTTGCGGTATCGCGAAATTTTAACCGAGTTTTTGTGTAGTTGGATCGAATTGATGTGCAGGGTATGTTCTTCCAACAAGACGGTGCCACCTGCCACACAGCACGCGAAATAATGGTGTTACTGCGGACCAAGTTTCCAGACCGTGTCATATCTCGGTTTGGCGTGGTGGATTCGTGGTGGCCATTTACCGAATGTCCTATTTCATATTTAATCGCAACTATTCCTCTCCATGTTGAAATAAAAAATACTCGCTTAATTCGAAAAGAAACTGCGTTTTTCTTGCACATCGAATCCGGCGCTCTTACTGAGACACCCTTTACAACTTAACAAAATTCGCTGTCTGTAAATGTCAGATCTCGTTCACGTTCCGATTCAAACTGTACCAGTCACTGTAAATACCGTATCAGGTTTAGACCGTTCACTTATGGCGAAACTATAGATTGTGTGATGAGTAAGTACAGATACAATAGATTGTTTCGCCATAAGTTTGCACTACGTGATGTGTGAGTTAAATTCTGCATCAACCATCAGAAACTATTTGACTACTGTTTATTTCTCCATATATTCCCACAAAAATGTTTAAAAACGTGTGACTGTGTATCTTACAAGCTTTCAAACTGCGTCTTCTAATTGTTATTAACTTTATACCGGTCAGAGCGAGAGCAGGATTAATCAACTCCCAAGAAGGATTGCAGTACATCTCTTGCATTTTCTAATCTAGCACATGCTATATACAACTCTTCAATACTTGTTATAAAGAGGTACATTTCATTATTGTGCACACTTTCTCTATTACCTCATAAAGTTTCTGAAAGAAACTGACCATCGCCAAAGGAACTAAAATAAAACACATGACATGCAAATAATCATATATTGCACACAGATACAGCTATTAAAAATTAAAACACTCTATATAACAAGCATTAGAAGTCACAAAATCTATTGCAAACTAACCAATAATTGGAATGTACTGAGTGCAACATGAAAAATAAATGAAACATGCAAATATATACAAAATAGTTGCAATCGATAGTCTTTCAAGTCGGAACGGTACGAGTAGTTGTTTTATTTTTCAACTTGTGTCGTTTTTCCGATGTTTCTTACAAATGCTATACTTAATACCAAATTTGTTTAAGGATCACGTTTGAAGAAAGTATCACAGTCTGGGAAAGCACACTAGTATATGTGCCCAGATCCCATAACATTTTGTCTTTCATGATAAAGACATTGTTCAAATGCAGTTTATATATCAAACTTAATGGTGGGATGCTAGGGTTGCATATCGCCTGCCGCAAATATGTTTAATTTCAGTGCAAAGGTAGGTTTTTTGGCCTAATTTTGAGTGATAACCAGAAAATAGATGTTGTCAATATTATATTCTCCACAGTGACGTTCAGGTGTTCTTACGGAAGTAAGGACATCTTTAATACAGTACTCTTAAGTAACCTGTTGAACTTAGTGCTAGCAATACTACATTTTGCTGATAACTATACGTATTTTTTGGAAGAGTTTTTTTTACAACGAAGCAGCCGCGCAGGCAGAAGCCTAAATGCAAGAGCACCGCGGCTGCTATGAGGATCCAAAGAAACTTTGTTAATCCGATTTTTGAACTGCCTAAGGTTAATAGAACTTGGAAATCCTCCTCTTGTAGATTCTTCCACAATCTTGACACCCTAGGGACAAAGGAGCGGTCATATCGGCCAATTCTAGATGGCCGATGTCAAACTTATATAAAAAACTGGGTTTGAACGTATGCGCGGCAGGTAACTCTAGCGTTTTTCTCTATTAATAAACTTTGATAAGACATAAACTTCAGTTGAACCATGGGTTTCTAGCGATAGACAGTGTTATGGGATATGAGCCTAACAGCAATTATAGTGATTAGTAGTAGTGTATTTCATAAGCCTTAACATATATCTATTTTTTCACCCAATCACCAGTTCCTGTTTGAGAAACCATCGCTTTAATTACTATTTACAGATGTTCTAGCGTGTCCTAGCGACAGTACCAAATTATTATCACATAAAGATGCTGCAATAATACTGAACAGCAACGATATTCTTAACTAGTGAAATAACTATTGCACTATCTATGAAAACATATTAAGAATGTCCTCATATGATATGATAACACAATTCAATCACAAAAAAACATTTACAAGCATGAATCAAAATATTTGAACATATGAATTTTGTTGACACTTCACAAGTGTCGTAGCTTAAGTACCAAAAAAACATATGTCGCCCGAGTTCATGAACACATATATCATAGAAACCCTCAAAAACATATTTTAGAAATTGAAGAAGCTTTTTTTCTACATGTACATGATTTAAAAAATGAAGTATATAAAATCTTGTGACAATTGATGAATATAAAATCTTAAAATATTGCGCATCTATTAATAAAATTTCAAATATTCGGTAAAAATTTAAAGTAGGATTTATGTCAAACCAAAAGTATGCCAAATATTTTACAAATATACAGAGCCTTGCTTAAATATCGGCTATGGACATATAATTCATCTAGAAACATAAGTGAACATAAGGCTCTAGGTGAATGCGATAGGAAAAAGTATGATAAATGCATCTACCAAAATAAACAATCCTTTTGTGATAAAATACTTGGTAATGCCTACAAGTGTTATTTTTTGTGCTCACCATCGATTGTTCCGAATTCTCTTTCGTGTGCCCTGTTGAGGATCTGTTTGTAGAGAACTTCGGCTTCCTTGTATTTGCCCTGTTTCAAATAGCAAGAAGCCAGGTTGTTCATGGTTTTGCTTACGTTCGGATCGTCAGCGCCCAGCCTTTTCTCGTAGATCTCCAATGCTCTTTGATAGTATTTTTCCACCTCTTCATATTTACCCTGTAACAGGAAAGAATCATGTTAACAGGTTTCTTCACATCTCTTGATATTAGATCGTACTCAGTGGCTATGTTTACACTGTAGGTAGCCATGCCCTTAGACAGCCAGTGTAAATGTTATTATGTGACCATTTACACAATATGCGTTATATAAACGGTTGACTTCCTATGGTGTAAGCATGGCCAATGACAAAGAAAATACCACGGCGGATGAAAATGTATTCCTTTATAAAAATGATGATGATGGATAAGGTAAAGAATCATCGCTTTTGTCATTTTTTACTTTTAGAATATCTAACATGGACGTGTACTATTATCAAAGTAAAATATATTTTCCAGGCAGCATTTAGTATATAATTTTGCTTGAGCAAATTCAGTGCAACATTTTTTAGAACCTGACCTAAACAATTTTTTTCCATATATAAACGATCTGACCTCAAATGGCACTTATAGAATCTTCCTCCCGGCCTGGGTGAAGGTCAGTTCAAGGTCAGTTTTAGGTAAGGTTTCGAAGTTTATGAACAAGTAGTGGCACAGTCTTGTTTATAGCTTTTGGGGTCGCTGAGGCCGAATTTAAGGTCAGTTTGTCCGTATCAGGTCCTTTGAATGGCGTTTAGAGGTCATTTCGAAAACGTATAAAAAACCGACAAAATGTCAACTTTCTAACTAGGTAGTTTCCAAGTGTACACATAGTTCATTCCGCTTTTGCTCGCTGTGAGCGTCACCTAGAGTCATCTATGGAAGAAAGACTCAACGAAAAGCTAGCGTGCTTTGTTGGTTGCAGAAGGCCGAGACTGTAGTGTGTATCTCTTAGAAGATGTGAAAGAAATTAGTTGAATAGCAAGATCGCTTCTGGATGATTATGTGTATTGGTCTGCATGTTTATAAAATCAGGGATATTTGCTATGTGAGAAACTTATTGCTGAATATGCTGCCCGAGAGCTTTACGAGACAGGTTATTTGTGTTGTCCTTTCTAAAGAGAGGCTATGTTCAAAGTTATGAATTACAAATTTCCCTGGTTTCACAGAAAAATAGGAAGGACGCATCACACAAAACATTTTCGCAGTGCGCTAATTTGTATTTTATACTTGACATCGAAAAACAAATTCCTATAAAATTTAAATGACTGGAAATAAAAAATAATGTAAAGAGTTATCACTTTTCTACGTTTAAAAAATATTCCTGTCTGTAGCCTATTCTGGCTAGTTAGTTGTAATATACTTCACCAACCAGGGATTTTCTGTTTTTATCTATCTCAATTTTGAAATTCAGCAAATTGTGCTAAGCTGATTTATCGCCCCTTCAGAATTTCTCGTCAAATCACCATGTGATTCCTGACGTTCAATTCGGTTTTCAGTCCGAGCATAGCACCGAGCTACAGGCAGTCAGGATGGTGGAACATGTATCAAGAGGGTTCACCCTCAGCATGAAAAGGTGTGGCACGCGGGCTTTCCCTATAAACTAATCCAAAAGGGTTTTCCTTTTTGGCTTCTAAAATTACTGAAATCCTTTCTTGAAGGAAGGAAGTTTCGGATCAAAATTAACAATGTTTTGTCAACAACACGGCCAGTACGGGCCGGAGTTCCTAAAGGCTCGGTCCTATGACCAATCATATATTCGGTTTTTATCCATGATTTCCCTTGCCCCAGCAACTGTGAAGTCTACCTCTATGCTGAAGACACTGCACTTTTTGCCCAGTCGTGTACTGGTGATCTGGTTCACGATGGGTTGCAGAGTACGGTGGACAAAGTACTAGAATGGGCGGAACAATGGCTGATTAAAATTAATCATTCGAAAACGCAGGCTATTTATTGTATCAAAAAACGTCGCGTCCCCCCAGCAGACGTTTCTGTAGACGGCAATCGTGTACCATGGACAAATTCTGCCAAGTATCTCAACATACCGCAGCCTTGAAAACAAAATTCCAAATTGCGTTTCGGCAACTATATCCTTTGTTATGTAGATCCTCCAAATTGAGTTTGATAAACAAAGTTCGATTTTATAAAATGATTGTTAGACGAGTCATTACTTATGCATGTGCGGGTTGATGTTTTCTTGCCAAAAAACACATGCAAAGCCTTCAAGTACTGCAGAGCAGAACTTTGCGAACAATTTGCAACGCTCCATGGTATGTCTCAAATGAGACACTTCACAGAGACCTTGACATTCCTTACTTGAGGGATTATGTCAGGCGCAGCGACGTTATAGTCAAGCGGAATCGCACAGCAACCCTCTGTTGCGACACTCAGTGGACTACACAGTGGAGCAAGTTCGTAAACATTCGGCCACGGCTCGCACTGTAATCAAAAATTAGCGCGAACTTTTAGTAAACTCAAAATTACACCCTAACAAAACCTGAATCAAAATTTGTTTAGTTCACCCCAAAATTAATCCGTGTACCAAGTCAAAAAGTCTAAGTGTTTCCTCTTAAACTAAACACTTCTGTTTTTCTTTGCTCTTCTTTTTTCGTGTCTTTACCTTTCTCTGTTTCCTTGACATTGTCTGGTTTCTGGGCAACCAGGACTGACAGATTCGACTAAGGTACATTATACAGTGACTAATGGGCAAAGGTCCTACGGACCGCCCAGACAAACAAATGACGAACAGTATCACATCACAGCCAAACATTGATAGCTGAAGCGTCATGATGTTTAGGCAACACATACAACCGCTAGTTCTAATTTGACATCTTACATCTTGTAGAAAATCTTACATAATGTCACAAAACCTATAAAATGTCAAAAAACCGACATAATGTCACTTTTCTAGATTCATAATAACCCTGCCGAATCGTAATCATAACGCCGCCATATTTAAAAATGGCGACAAAATCACAAAATATTTCTTTGGGAGTATATCTCAATAGTCATTGGACTCATTAAAAAAACGTATAGTTACAAAATATTTCTGCCTTGAAAAAAAAGGGGGAAAATCAGCTTTAAAAAATTAGAATCGGTCCAGCTGTTATGTAAACATGTTGAATAACCGTTCTACAACATGTCGGCCAGTTTTAAATATGCAGGCCTAAGGACCACAATTTGGATCGCGTTTTTTACATAGTCCTCTAGACGCTTAATAATAACCCGTATTCAAACTAAGGGCACATATAAGTTCACACCTGGTCTTATCCTAGATTTCGATTTGCAATGTTATTTCAATTTTGTGGTAAGATTTGTCTTTTTTATTTGAGAATCCAATATTTTTAAATGTTCGAAACTAGTTTTTACCCTAGCCAAAATAGACAATGTTTCCATTTAACAATAACTGCACAAATTGATAAAAATTGTTTTACAATTTGGCGGCTATCTTTACATATGGCCAGTAAACGACTACGATTTGGATCGCGTGATCTAATTTTTATATACTCCTGTAGGCGAGTAAGAAAACCCACATTTATACTAGAAGACATATAACGGCATTTGTGACCTTAGTGACTGATCCCGGACAAACTGACGTCACAGTTAAGTGCCAGATACCTGATTAGTCACTGCGTAAGCTTCGAAATTTCACATAAAACTGATCTCGAACTGACTTTCACCCTGGCCAGAAGTTTGTTCCAATAAGTGCCATTTGTTATCAAATCGTTTAGTTATTTTATATACACAAAGAAAGGATTTTCATTTTTTGATCAAAATTGTCTTTGTTACACTTTATTTCTATGACGGACATGATTTTAGTTCTTCTGAGAATTAACTTCAGCAACACATTTTTCCGAACAATTTGTTACAGAATCATATATGAAGCTTCGTGTCTTGACATGCGTCTTCACACACATCTAACAGTTATTTTACAAGGCACAATTACTTACCTGATTCTGGCAGAGTAACGCAAGGTTGTTCAGCTGTTTAGCGACATCTGGATGTTCTCTGCCCAATACTTTTTCCCTAATGTCCAAAGCCCGCTTGCACAGAGGTTCTGCCTCCTTGTATTTGCCACGTTTTCCGTACAACACAGCCAAATTGTTCAAAGTCGCAGCCACCGCAGGGTGATTCTCACCCAGAGTCTTCTCCCTTATCGCCAATGCATCGTTCAAAAGATTGGCCGCTTCTTTGTATTTGTTTTGATCTCTGCAAAGAAATATATTTACATAATAAGCATATAGTTAGCTGAAAATTAGCTACAAAAATCAGCATAATATAGCAAATTTGGTGGCAAAAATAAAATATATCTTAAATCATTTCAACCTCAATGTTGTAAATGGCCAACACCCCGTCAACAAATAAATATAATCAGCAAGATATGATCTTTTCAGCTTTCCTTTACCACTGAAAATAGATGAACCCTTTGATTTAAAATCTTCCAAATGAAATCTCAGAATAATTGGACTTTGCGAAAAAAAGTCATTTGTTGTCTGGCAGCGGGTTGCATTTTATGAAGATACATGCAGATATTGACACTACAGCAAAAACAAATGAGCTCTGTCACCTGGAAGATAAATAAAATGTCAATATATCTTAATCGCCAAACATATTATTGACTTGTACTCCGAAAAAGCTTGCCAAGATTGAGGAATTACATAAGCTGCAAGTGATGCCTACCTGTAAACCAATGCGAGGATATTGAGCATCGTTGCTACGTCAGGGTGGTCATGGCCGCTGGTCTTTTCGAGATCTTCCAAGGCCTGCTTGCACAGGGGTACGGCCACCTCGTAACGTCCTTGAGAAGCATATTGTATCACCAGGTTGTGTAAAGTTCTGAGTCGAGCGGGAATTTCATAACCGGCGTTCACTTGTTGGGACAGCTGAAGTTGGTTTGGAGGAGTCGGAGACACTAGAAAAAGAAAAAAATTATTTATTACCACTGTAACAACTCCGTACTACGATTAGACATAAATCAAAAACGCACATCAGGAATCACATGACGTTACTAGGCGTGAGAAGTAAAAATGACACACTAGTCAGTGGTTGCTTTGGGTAAAGTATCCGGCACGGGTATCACGTATCTTGTAAAGTGACATTATGCAGACCTTTTTTTTGACATAATGCTGTTTTTTGACAATATGTAGGTTTTTCTACAAGATATTAACTAAGCACTTAGTTGTACGTGTTGCCTAAACGTCATGAGGCTTGTTATCAATCTTTGGCTCTGATGTGATGTAAAATCTGCTTCTGAGATTATATTACTTACATTGGGTTCTTGCCTCAAATACACTTAATTGAGATTCAAAGCTAGAAATTGGTTGCGCATCCACTTTTTCGTATCCATTCTGGAAATTACATATACAAATTTGCTGAATTTCAAAAATGAGATAGATAAGAAATAATTATACTCACTGTATACTGTCGAATTACAAGCCATATAAATGCTAACAGTAGTTACACACAACGCGGGCGCGGTGATGATTTCCCCTAATTCTCCTCAGTTTTTCGTAATTGATAACTTTGAACATAACCTCTCTTCAGAAAGCACAACATAAAAATAACCCGTCGGGCACAGCCAATAGATATACATCATTGGCAGCATCTTCAGTAATGATTTTCTCACACAGCAAATATCACTGATTTTATACACATGCAGACCAATACGCATAATTATCCATATTCTATGTTGCTATTCAACCAACTTTCTTCTCAGAGATAAAAATTACAGATAAGGACAATTTGGCCTCACAAAACATATGCGTTAAGTTTAGTTGAGTGATTCCTCCTTAGATGGACGTTCACAACGATCCTAGTGAGCAAACGTGGAATGACTGGTTGCGCCCTAAAAACTACCTAGTTTGCAAGATGACATCTTATAGGTTTTTTTTTTTGACGTTTTACAGGTGTTTTACATGATACCCATGCCGATGACTTTGTCGTACCGGTTTTAGCAAGAAAACATTTGGCTTGTTCACACGAAAGTTGTACGCGTCATTAAGGTACGAGGGATAATGTGAGAAATGCCTTTTTTCACCTTTTTGATACTTAAAGCGCCCTGAAGTAACCAGAAAGCCCAAAAATGTTGGAAAAGGAGTTTGCAGGAGATTATAACACGGCAGCCGCTGGACATATTTTCACAAACCACAAAGTACTACGATGACATGATAATACCACCAAAATCCAAACAATATACCTTCCGAGTTACAGGAGATATAGAAGAATGTCCTAAATATCATCCAGGTACATTTCTGGATTCAGAATGTTTCACGATTACAATATTTTCTGACCAACTGATGTGAGAAGCAACAGTGTTAAAGATCTAAGGTTGTTGGTGGGACTGCTGTCTGGCCATAACACGATGAGGCGTCACCTGTATGTGATGCGGGTCTTGTGGTTTTAGCTTACTTGGTGCATTATGATCTTTAATTTTCGATTTAGGGACAATTTAACATGTATTACTGGAAAAGTCCCAAAAAATAAGAAAAAAAAAAAGAAATTTATGGAAAAAGGACACTACCCTCAAAAATAATTAGTAATAATGAGAAAAATGAGTCCATCACCGAATCCTTCTATTTCAGTTTGGTGGATTATTTTTGTACTTGTTTATTTTTGGTTCTCCAACTTCCTGTTTTTCAGCTTTATTCTTCATTTTTGATATAGCTGTTTTTATGCCTTACATATCATGCATTCTATCTGCAGTTGTTCCTGTAGAACGCCGGTTCAAACTTATTTAGTCCACTGTCTACTTTGAGAATCAAGTATATTCGTCCTGCATATTCCTCTAGGGTCTTCACCGCCCCCGTAGGTGCCCACAGCGAGTTATCGTCCACTTTGTGAAAAAACCCTGTAGAAAATCATTTTCAGTAAGTAGTCGTAGCATATGGCTTTCATCTTGAATATCTTCCTTAGAGCAGCTAGTTTTACAAATACACTTAATTGAGATTCAAAGCTAGAAATTGGTTGCGCATCCACTTTTTCGTATCCATTCTGGAAATTACATATACAAATTTGCTGAATTTCAAAAATGAGATAGATAAGAAATAATTATACTCACTGTATACTGTCGAATTACAAGCCATATAAATGCTAACAGTAGTTACACACAACGCGGGCGCGGTGATGATTTCCCCTAATTCTCCTCAGTTTTTCGTAATTGATAACTTTGAACATAACCTCTCTTCAGAAAGCACAACATAAAAATAACCCGTCGGGCACAGCCAATAGATATACATCATTGGCAGCATCTTCAGTAATGATTTTCTCACACAGCAAATATCACTGATTTTATACACATGCAGACCAATACGCATAATTATCCATATTCTATGTTGCTATTCAACCAACTTTCTTCTCAGAGATAAAAATTACAGATAAGGACAATTTGGCTTCACAAAACATATGCGTTAAGTTTAGTTGAGTGATTCCTCCTTAGATGGACGTTCACAACGATCCTAGTGAGCAAACGTGGAATGACTGGTTGCGCCCTAAAAACTACCTAGTTTGCAAGATGACATCTTATAGGTTTTTTTTTGACGTTTTACAGGTGTTTTACATGATACCCATGCCGATGACTTTGTCGTACCGGTTTTAGCAAGAAAACATTTGGCTTGTTCACACGAAAGTTGTACGCGTCATTAAGGTACGAGGGATAATGTGAGAAATGCCTTTTTTCACCTTTTTGATACTTAAAGCGCCCTGAAGTAACCAGAAAGCCCAAAAATGTTGGAAAAGGAGTTTGCAGGAGATTATAACACGGCAGCCGCTGGACATATTTTCACAAACCACAAAGTACTACGATGACATGATAATACCACCAAAATCCAAACAATATACCTTCCGAGTTACAGGAGATATAGAAGAATGTCCTAAATATCATCCAGGTACATTTCTGGATTCAGAATGTTTCACGATTACAATATTTTCTGACCAACTGATGTGAGAAGCAACAGTGTTAAAGATCTAAGGTTGTTGGTGGGACTGCTGTCTGGCCATAACACGATGAGGCGTCACCTGTATGTGATGCGGGTCTTGTGGTTTTAGCTTACTTGGTGCATTATGATCTTTAATTTTCGATTTAGGGACAATTTAACATGTATTACTGGAAAAGTCCCAAAAAATAAGAAAAAAAAAAGAAATTTATGAAAAAAGGACACTACCCTCAAAAATAATTAGTAATAATGAGAAAAATGAGTCCATCACCGAATCCTTCTATTTCAGTTTGGTGGATTATTTTTGTACTTGTTTATTTTTGGTTCTCCAACTTCCTGTTTTTCAGCTTTATTCTTCATTTTTGATATAGCTGTTTTTATGCCTTACATATCATGCATTCTATCTGCAGTTGTTCCTGTAGAACGCCGGTTCAAACTTATTTAGTCCACTGTCTACTTTGAGAATCAAGTATATTCGTCCTGCATATTCCTCTAGGGTCTTCACCGCCCCCGTAGGTGCCCACAGCGAGTTATCGTCCACTTTGTGAAAAAACCCTGTAGAAAATCATTTTCAGTAAGTAGTCGTAGCATATGGCTTTCATCTTGAATATCTTCCTTAGAGCAGCTAGTTTTAACAGATCGAAGTGCTCACAATCCAGAACCCAGAAATGCGTGTCTTTTTTTACACCGAAGCAGCCTTGTAGGCAGAAGCCTATGAGGAGCTTAAAGAAACTTTGTTAATATGATTTTTGAACTGCCTAAGGTTAGTAGAATTGGAAAAACAATCCTCATGTAGATTGGTCCACAATCTCTGTACCCTAGCGACAAAGGAGCGGTCGTATAGGCCGGTTCTGGATGTACGAAGTTCGATACGGTTATGTTGGGAGGCCCAAATCAGGCGGGTCTGTCTGACAGGCACAATGCGCGGTAGCGGTAGCAGAGAGCGAAAGGGTCCCTAGACTGTCTGTGTATTTAAACAACATCGAGCATAGATAGACGGCAACACCCTAAACATGTGAGCAATACTCGAGGCTAGGTCTTGTGGATGTGGATCTTGTATAGAGTGAGGAGGTCATGTGGGGAAAAGTACGTCTCGGCACTAAACAAATAGCCTAGCTTTTTCCCAGCAGCTGCCGCTATTAACGAGATGTGTTCGTACCAGAACAAGTCCTCGGTGACCTGGACTCTGCTGCTCTTTGGCAGAACTCGGCTATCCATCGAAACCGGGTGAACGCTAGATTCCTTTTTGTTCGTCAAGGTACAGTACTGTGTTTTGGAAGCATTGTATTGATCGGACAGGAAAGGAGGTCGTTGATATTTAAGTGGAACAGGATCGGAGCCAAGACCGATTACTGGGAACAGCCGCGTTGACATTATGGGATGAAGAGGAGAACCCGTCAATTACGAGGGCTATCTTGCGGCGAAAGAGAAAGTCAGCCATCCATCTGCAAAGCTTCTCGGGGAGGCCATAGGATGGAAGTTTGCTTAAGAGGGCAGCATGCCACAACTTATGGAACGCTTTCGTGATGTCAAGAGCAACGACATTGACCTCACCATAAGACTGGATGAGTTTAATACTCAATTGCGTGTCGTAAGCTAGGAGGTCCCCTGTGGATCGCTGGTGCTGGAAACCATGATGCCTCTCGCAAATCAAGCCGTGACGTTCGATGTAATCCAGAAGCTCCTGATTTATGCACCTCTCCATCACCTTACTTATACCAGAAAGCAGAGCTATAAGCCTGTATTTGGGTTGATCTTAGATCTTTTTTTGGGGATGGGTTGGAAATGAGCAAATGAGAGTGCCGGATTCGTGTGATATCTGGAAAAGACGCGAAAGCACTGGAGAAAGACCGCTGCACACCTCTTCAATACAGCGGCAGGTAGAACGTCTTAAAAAAAAACTGGCAAATTGTTAATGTAAGGAGAACGACAAAGGAGGAGTGGGAAGGATATTGACGAGTTTGTTTGGCAAACCCAAATAGCGGCAGCATCTGGGAGGAAAACTCGGAAGATCCACCATTCGAAAATACATATCAAGGAATCGTGAACTTACTATGCCTATCATCACTGTCATCATCAGGGAACAGATCGACGACAGGATCCGGCTTCTCAGCCCTTTGATGCTCGCCGCTAACGCCGCCTACACTGCTACCATCCTCGCTGATGTCCTGGTCATATTTGCTGACAGAGTTCATGAACTCCAGATGTTTCTTCTCCTCTTCCAGCTGGGCAACAGCTTGTTCGCTGGACTGCAGCCGTTGTTGAGTCGATGCCAGTTCATCTCGAAGCCACGCGTTCTCTTGGCATAGACGACGGACTTGGGTGCGCAGCTTCTGCTTTTCGGCTTCAACCATTTGGAGGTGGGACGCCAGTGCCATGATCACCTGTGAAAAGGAAACAATTCTAGATTCAAAACCACAAAAGTAGTGCCATTTGAGTCGATCGTTGAAATTTTGTATGTACTTCGAGCAATAAGTGATTGTACCCTTTTTGCGTATTAGAGCATTGGGCCATAATGTCACGCCGCAGGCCAAAAACGCTATCTTTAGGTTTTAGATAAAGAAAATAAAAAAAATAATTTACGGTATAGGTCAGACTGAAAAATTACTTTCCTCTTTTTAAAAAAGGTTATTGAGACATGTAGTTAAGCTTTTTGAGGCGTTCTCAACTATGGCCTTGTTTCTAAATCATGTAGCAATATTTGTTTTTTTTCTGCATTTTGTCAACTATTGTTATCTCCTATTTTGGAACCCCTAAGAAAACATCAAATAAATGTCAAAACGACGTAATTGAATGGGTAAATATTATTTAGCGGTGCATAAGAGGCTTTTGGAGCACTTAGGCAACACTATGATGCCTGAAAGTTTCATAAAGATTTGAAATGTAGATCAACGAGTGTTTATCTACATTATTTGATAATGAAACATACGGTAGTAAAATATATTCAGGGTAGTTTTACCTTTACCGTATGATTTAACGTATGTGATGATGTAACGTGTTTTTTACAGTAGGGGACCTGATTTAGTAGATTTTATTTCGGATTTCCGATAAAAAATCTTTCAGGGTGCACAAAAAAGGAAATCAAAATTAAATTCAATAAACCCAAAAAGTCTATTTTTTCAAATAGAAATCTTACCTTTCTTGTCATATTATATATTAAGCAATGAAAATGCAGTTTGATTGTATAAGGTTGTCTATAATGGTTTTAGAGATACAGTAATGGACAAAAGTATATAGACAAATTAATATTGTGTTGTATTTCTTTTTTAACTTGTTTTATTAATACACTAACCTGTATACATAATTCGTTATAGCATAATACTGACTTATACATAAATAAATTCATTAGACTCCCTTCAATAAAAAATTAATTGAAAAAAACTGAAACTTTGAAGGATAAAAATATATAGACAAAGCAAAACAATTATAGAAAAAAGAAGCAAAGTTCATTGAATTATAGAAAACCAACCATGTTTGTGTTAATATTTTGTAGCATAACCATTATTATCAATCACCGCCTGGCATCGTCTCGGCATAGATTGTAGAAGTTTCTTGATATAAGATTCATCAATCTGTCTCCACTTTTGCTCTAAAGCGGCAAAAAGTTCATCCTTGTTTGAATAATTTTTATCTGGTATTTGCTTATCTAAGTATTCTCATAAATTTTCAATGGGGTTTATATCGGGAGACTGTGAAGGCCATTTGAGAACTGGTATTTTTTCATCCAGAAAGAATTTCATTGCGAGATTTGAAGTGTGCTTCGGGTCATTATCTTGCTGGAAGATTGATCTTAAGGGCATATTGTCTTCCATATAGGTTAACATGACATGCTTTAGTATGTCTGTGTATACGAACTTATCTATAATGCCATCTATTCTATGTAAAGGTCTCATCCCAAACCCCGAATAGCATACCATAACAGACCCGCCTCCATGTTTGACAGTGGGTAAAGTGTACTTGGGGTTCAATTTTGTCCACTAGGACGTCTAACGTAATGAACACCATCTAATCCAAACATATTGCACTTGGATTCGTCACTGAAACATACCCTCTTCCAGTCACAGATGCTCCAATCAAGATGAAACCGTGCAAATTATAATCGGTCCTTACGGTTTTTCCTCGAGATTAGCGGCTTCTTACTCGGACGACGTGCAAATAACTTCAAATCATTTAATATTCTACTTATAGTTTTCGTAGAAACACTGACAATTCCTTTTGTCTCGATTTCGGCTTTTATTTGTCTGGGGGTTTTAAACGGATCTTTGGACGAAATTACTTTTATTAATCTAACTGATCTAGCATTTAGTTTTCTAGGCAGACCACTTCCCTTGGAGGCTTCCAAGATACCTTTTTGTTTATATTTGTTCAATATTGCCCAAACTGCTTTACACTTCAGCTTCAAATTTTTGGCAATGTCGACTTGACGTTGACCATCTTTGTATAGCTCAATGATTTAGTTTTTTCTACTAATAACGCATTTGTTTATGGAGCAATGAAGTATGAATTCGTTTTCTAAAGGTATTTAGGTAAATATTTATATTTGTCTATATACTTTTGTCCATTACTGTATATGGAAATATTAGTTTATCTGTTGCTTAAACGCTTCATAAGGTTTTTACCATATTTTCATTTGGTCATGGCGAAAATCAGGCGAATTAACCACCTGAAAGTCATTTAGAACAGCTCTGGTTCAATAGAGTATTACCGGATAATTAACCTTTCATAGAGTGTGTACCCTGTTCGAATGACGTTATAAAAGAGACAATGTGTCTATCGAACGAGATCCGGTATCTGTATCGGCAATATCCGTTCAGAATTTGCCGTCCACCCTTTTCGCTGTCCGTTCTACAGTTTTAATCAAAAGCATTGCCGCACTGGCCAGTGGCAGACATCTGATATCACCAATACAACAACCGGTAGTGCTGAAAAAACATCTTTGATAGTTATTCACGATACCATAACTCAATACTGATCTTTGTTCAGTTTATGCTTGTAATTTGTTTATTATTTCAGAAGACTAACAAAAAAGTTCTATATCCAGGTAAACACTTCTTATTGTACAAGAATTAAGTGCCACAAATTTCCAGGTAGAAAAAATCATAATAGGCACTTTACATGGAACATAAAAAATATCATGCGTGACTAGCGCCCATCCATCTCAATAGCTTCGTTTATGTAGTAATATCTGTGTTCAAAAAAATTAGTGAAAACATTTTTATCTTACTGAAGTTCTTTAATAAAGTTAAAGTATCGTATCAAAGTTTCTTCAGAGGGACCTTGAATTAAAAAAAATACAACCAAGAACCTGGCAATGCGTTGACGATCATAACCTACAAATGTTTATATCTAACAAGTGTCGATATGCCGGGAAGTGACAAAGGAGCAATCGTACCGGTCAGTTCTGGATGTACGAAATGAATCTGTACCGTATTGTCCACAAAACTACAACAAAATACTGTGTCAGTTGGGGTTGGGGATATAGGGAACCGTAATGGATACTCGTGAAAAAACTTTAGAGCGTAAAGTTTTAATTGTTACGCCAAAAATTATCTTATATATCCTAATAGGTGGATTCATGAAAAACCTATCAACATGCCTTGAACATCGAAGCATAAGTGAGAACGAATAAGGCGTGTGTAACTTATGGAACAATACATTGGTTCTGCCGTAAGTTACGACTAGGCATGATCGAATGAATCCGCCAATGTTAAACGAACCTCATAAAAAAAGGCAATGTGCCCATTCGAACCAGATCCTATCTATAATGGCAATTTCCGTTGTCTTTTGCGTTACCGTCCGTTTTTAATCAAAGCAAAATGCCGGTGGCGGGCAGACCGTCCGGCACCAACACGGCCTTCTGTGTGTATGAGTCATCGCAAGAGCGATCGATTCTGGCTCTCGCTTCTCACCGCCCCGCCGCCATTCATTCAACGTCGTTGCCGCCTCGTGTTCATCGCCGATACCGCCACGATGAAAAAACGACCCCCTAATCGCCGGGGGCAGATCGCCCCATGATAAACACGAGCGTAGCTACAGGTAATGGTCTGGAGTGTCAATTTGGAGAGTCATGGAATAGAGTGATCCATGGGTATCAATCTTAAAACAGATTTTACTACTTTTTTATCCTCACACCGAGCACTGGTAAACGCAAGCGATAAATACGAGGTCTGTAAATTAAGTAATGAGATTGGCAACGTAGCGTTCGATCTGGCAGCACTGGAGGCGCCGGGCTTCGAGGGGAGACGGGGGAACATGTGATCCGCCTTCAGTAAAAAATTTAACTCTCTCGAGTCATTTGATTGTCCGTAGCTATTTTTTTGTGTTCTAAAAATGAGTAACATCAATTTCGAGCAACGGTGAGCTATCAGAATTTGCCTCAGTCTTAGGCACAGTGCATCGGAAACTATTGCTAAACTTCATCAGGCCCACGGAGTTTTGTCAAGAGCCCAGGTTTTTTCGGTGGTATACAGCAGGCTTTCATCTTCAAGAACCCATGCTTCGTTGATTCTTATGTTTAAATGGAACACCGAATTCTATTACTCCTGTTACAAAATAAAACAAATGTGAAGAGATTCATTTCTTCACATACGAGATCCTTTAAGAGCTTTGTTCCCTCACCTATTTTTCACTGCGCCATTGTCGTCTATGCATGAATAGCACGAAAAGCACTCGCGAAATGCCAGAGCCTTAAAGAGGCGGTTTTAAATATAGCAACACGCTGGGTTTCGTGCAAAATAGGAAAATCATAAGGGAAATTCTTTCACATTTGCGTTTCAGAAACGAATCACCGTGCGTGTAGCGGAAAAGACTCATTCTTTTTCACATGAAAACTGTAAATAGGGTTTTCGTCTGTCAATTGGTCACCAGGATCATACAATTTGACCCCATTTGTGGCCAATAATCCACAATCCATAAATGCGCGCACAGTCAATATAACCCAGGTCATCCTCAAAATTCAACCGGATTTATGCGGCAGTCATTAAAAATTTGACCTGTTGGATAATCCCTGTTAAAAAATTTTTTTGATCACCGTTCAACATCAACCCGTCCTTATTGGAAAACCCTTACTTAACGCTAAAGTAATATTTCATATTTTATGAAGACCAGCACTACCCAACAAGCGAAATGGAAATATAGATAAGTAACTAATTGTTAATATGGTTGTACTAATTAAATACTATTTTCTCTCATTACATTCATATGTGTTAATACATAATGGATGTATCGTAATTTAGATAACCGTTATGTGCATCAATCTAGGAAACTTCACGCTAGATGAGCAGCGCATGGATTTAATGATATTTCCAAGAATATATCTTTCTCATATCGAATAATACCAACTTCAATTTGCAGCAGTTACACCCAAAAATATTTTCCCAGCTATATACGCTAGGAGAGTCTAGGAAGTTTGGAAAGGTTCCAAGGCAATATCCTGCTGGAAAATTCGTATAATGAAAGTAAGCTTTCGGTGCACATTTCATTTGCCATCCATGATACGCTTTTTTAGCGGAATGATCACGATTCGAAATAAATGAAGAGAACCGAGGTCAAGGTCGCTAACAAAAGTCTGGAGCTTTGCAGATGCTAATCTAAAAAAAACTATATAAGCCTGTATAAGTATGTACGTTAATACGATTTTGGAAAAGCCTCGCTGTAAAATCAAACGTTTGAATCTGTTGGACACTATTAGTTATTGGGCCTTGAAGTTGCGAGTACAGCTAGACAAGGGATATGGGAACAGTTGAGAGTCGTATAAACGAGCACAATAGTCAGTTGTAATGGATATTAGCGGACGCTAGTAGTTGTTATTATATATACTACTACTATATATATATATATAGATAGTAAACTTAAGTTTGAGGATCACTATGAATAAATTATTTCAAAAATTGCCAAAAAAAAACATATTACTTTTATAGGGCTTCTCATAGTCTTGGTACCTATTCCAAGAAAATAGTTTCAAGTCTTGCAAAATAAAGTTATGAGAATAATATTGAATAAAAATAAGTACACCAAAATAAAATCTATGTTACAAGAATTGCAGTGGTTGAATATAAAAAATTTCATATCATATTTGGTTCTTATTTTTATATTTAAAATAAAAAATCATCTTTTGCCAGAACATGCAGAACAGTACATAGAATTGAATGATCATTACCACAATTATTATACAAGAAGAAATATAGATTTTCATTTACAAAATTGCAATAGTAATATAACTAGGAAATCAATATTTCAGAAAGGATTTCTTGAATTTAATAAACTAAATAATGATATAAAGTCTACTTGTAATTTAAAGATATTTAAAAGAAAATTAAAGGAATATTTCATGGACAATGAAAATTCTTAGAGATGCAAATTTTGTTTTTTTTCTGAATATCTGTATTCTATGTAATTGTTGTAGTTGTTTAAAAGAATGTAATTGTAGCAGTCATGCTAAATAAATCTTAAACAAACAAACAGTGTTGCACAAAATCAGTTTTTTTTAAATAACCAAAAAAGCTTCAAATTGGTGGAAATCTCCGCAGAATGTTGGTGCTATCCAAAAAGTACTGCCCACCATTAAAAAAATTATCTGCTACAGCTTGTTCAGCATCCGTCGAAAGAATGTTTTCGACATTTGGTTTGGTACATTCCAAACTTCGAAATCGCTTGGGAACCGAAACAGCAGCTAAATTAGTTTTCCTGTTTAAGTATTACAACTGACTTTCTAAACACATTGTTGTGATTATGTTTGTTGTAGGTTAGCCTGCGTAACGTTTTTGTTTACAGTACATATTGTAATACCATTTATGTATTTGTAATTAATTTTTGTTTGTTATTATTTATTCATGTGGGTAATATTATAAACTATAGACTGCTTCTATTGTTGTAAACTGTGTTGTCTCAAGTTTAATTTATGAATATTTACGTTGGACTGATGAGGATTAGTTATGTTCTTAAACTTAAATAATGAATGTAAACTTAGTTTTGAATAAACTATTTTCCTTTTTTTGAATTCCTTGATGAGTTATTTCAGTCATTTGCGTCGGCGATTTGCTTTTACAGCCCAAATAAGTACACAACTGAACTAGAATTAAACCAAAAAATTGATGAAGTAGACAAACAAAAATATATGGTCAATGAAGTTTTCCAAAAAGAGTTGAGCAACGCAGGCAGTGGTAATGAAACTTACATGTATTATGCTTGCAACTTTTTACTATCATACAGAATGTACAAGAAAAGGAGCAGTAAATTTTATATTAAAAAGTGTCATAACCATTTTTGATATCTAAAAAGTATTATCATTGATCCTACTGGATATGAAAAAAATAACGTTTTAATTTGAGTTTGAATTTTTTCATGTTTGGAAGCTTGACTTCTTGTGGAAGCTGATTATACGCGCATTATATATAAACGATCTAATATTCAGATGATGAGCATCTTTGCGAGGTATGAAATGTTTAATCAGACTTGAAGGATTTCAATTGTTGAGCAATTTATGCGTAAAGTTACACAGGTGAAGAAGACTCCTATTCTTTATGTTAAGCCATTCGCACTCTTTGATTTTGTATGATATAGGGTCATACTTCCTGATTCCATATACCAGCCTACCGTAGCTATTTTGAACCCGTTGTGTTTTTGTTATATCGGCACTAGTCAAACACGGCCCATAAATAGAGCTACAATAGTAGAAATTACTCAGCCCTACGGTTTCACATGAAATGGCTCAGTTCCGCAGTCTCGCACAACGATTTCCTTAGTTTGGGTATGGTTTGAGAAACGCATGCTTGGATCAATAGTTAAACCAAAGTCACGAGCAGAATCACAGAAACTGAGCGCTTCATTTGATATTTTGAATGAAAAGTATCTTTCAAAATATTTGTTATTTTCATTGCCAAAATAAATAATTTTTACATTATCGATTGAAGCTCTTCATTCTGCTGCAGCCCTATCTTTAAAAAAAGCTAAATTAAACTTGAATGTCGTCAGCGTACGCTTGCACTTTCACATTTTGTATTTTACTTAGAATATATTATGTATAACAAGAGGCCAAGTATAGACCCTTGTGGCATCCCTATCCCTATCTGATTGATGGAAATCCTGCTTGTAATTCATACCTGCGCTTCGCCCAGTCCCAACTCAATCATCTCCCTACTTTGGTTGACCAGCTGGGCTCTCTCGTTGGCCGCCACCGGGTCCGCGGCCTCTTGCAGGCCATGCAGCAGGCCCGCATGCTCGCTACGGAGTGCCTCCAGACCCTGAGCCACCGTCTTCACGGCAGACACGATCTCCTCCTGAGTCATCGCCGTCATTTTGCCCAGGCTTTCTATCTTCTTGCTGGAACATTCAAAAAATCTTTGAATTAGTAAAATGTGAATGCATTTTTATATTGTTATAAGGTGTACTTAAAATACCGGAACCGTCAGTCTCTCAAAAATCTACATATGAAATATGTCTTCACAACGGCAGATACAGAGTGCCAAAAAACAAGTGGGCATTCATAGTACTTTATTTTTGTTTGGAGATATTTTCATTTGAATGGCAGAAATTTACATCTTATTTTGGAAATGAAAATGAATGACGCCAAGCACTACAACTGTACATTCCTTCATTGCGTCCTATAATTAACAAGTAACCTGTTAGAGCTAGGGTAGCCCAGGCCATTCCATTAAGATCCTGAAGAAATTTGGTGATAATCGAAGTCATTTTCAACTCTGCCGTTAGGTGAAAGAATTTCTGGTACTTTTTGGTCACTCATATACTACAAAGCTTTTCAACAACACCTGCTGTTACCGGATAACTCAGTCGTTGAAATTATTCATTGAGGGTCACATATGATATATTCAAAACAGCTTCCCTTTGCAGTGTTGCTATTTGAACGTGCGAGTTCTGAAAATTAAGAGATGATACCGGCAACGTAGCGTTCAATCTGGCAACACTGGAGGCACCGGGATTGGATGGGAGACATCCGCCTTCAATACAGTACAGGTTTGAACTCGCTCGAGGACTCATTTTGGGACAGTCGAAAACATTCAAACGGCTGTAACCGACCAGCTGAAGGCTATTCCAGTAGCGGAGTTCCAGCACTGCTATGAGGAGTGGAAGAACCGTTATTGCTTTGTGGCTTCAGAAGGAAGGTATTTTGAGGGTGACAATAAAAACTTGTAATTGTATTTGAATTAAAAAAAAGTAGTCTCATTACTTAATTTACAGATCTCGTACATATATCTGAGCAATATGGTCATGAGTTGAAGCTATTTATTATCTATAAATATTCGCCCCCTCAAACTTGTTAGGTTTCCTTATGAACTCACGAACCCGTAAAAAAATCCATAAAATGTATTCCAATAACTGAATAGAATGGACAGTAAAACTATAGATTAATAGTAATGTGCAGTTACAACAAGAAAAGTGCAAAATGGTCATTAATATTATTTATCCTTGATGTGATGTATGCAGTTATTTTGCTAAGGAAGCTTTGACAGCTCAAGAAAAGAATCTAATTACGGATATATTCCAGTATCGTTATTAACGAAGATGTAAAATCATGCACTGAATCGAATTAGGATCGCTTATTCAACTTTTCAGATACCTCAGAACACTTTAAAGTAGAGCATCCACATGAGCCTGTTTTACAAATACTTCTTACTAAAATGTAGTCAAAGATCCTACTGCCAAAAGTTGGTATCTGTTGATGCACCTCAAAATTGTTAAATAAAAATCTTATTGTAAGATTCAAGTGTATACTTTCTTATGAAGCATATAGTTTTTACAAATTTCAACAGATCAACGATATCAGGCCTGAACAGCAGGTTGGTAATATTTCAGATCGAGCTCAGCTAATTGGCCAAAAAGAAAAAATAACTGTTTATAAAACCAACCTTGACTTATCATCACAGTCAAGCCAAAGCAAAAATATTTATTAATTCATTGACTAACAAGAGGTTGGGAATTGCACTTAGTTTACCAATTCTTAGTTCGACCCATATTAAAAATGTCCATCGTTATTTATTTACATTTATGTTAAATGTATAGATAGCTTGGGTACATAAGCTCATATTAAACTTGGAATAGAATAAGCACATAAATATGACAGCATGGACACTACCCAGTAAAGAATTCTATCAACACTCGATGCACAAAAACACGCCAAAACTCTAGATTGATAGCTTTGACAGAAACTTTAACAAAGCTCGGTGATCGACAAATAGTCACGAGTAGTATACAACGTCCTATACAGGGTGGCCAAACACGTGACGTCATAAAAAAAAATTAGATTCCCCACATCGAGAAGAACCCAAATCACCCCCATATATATGGTCCGATTTTGTTTAGTTTAGGAGTTATGATTTTTTTTCGGATTTTTCGAGAATTTTTGAGTTCTGTGTTTATTTTTACCATAACTTCGTTAATAATTGTGATAAATGCCTGCTTTTTTCACGATTATGTAGCTAAGACCTAAGGCTTAACTATCATATAATCATTCAAGTCATGTAACTAATACTACTTTTTAATTTTTTTCAAAATCTTCGAACATAACAAAAAAGTAAAAAAGTGCAACAACTTTGAACGTTTATAAAAAATTGAAAAAACATGTTCTTACTATTCGTAAGTATCTTAAAAACTTCCTTACGGTATCAGCTATTTACCGTAAAAATTTCATCAACCTAGCTTTACTACATGCTACCGTAATTGTGGCTCAAATAGAACCGAACCCAAAATTGGATAACCCTCTGCTCAATAGAAATTGTTAGTTTCGGAAAAAAAATTTGCAAAAACCACAAAAACACGTTTGATTTTTACTGAACAGCAGATTATTATTCATTTATGTTATTTACAAGAGGTTTTCAAAATGTCTGCCTCTAACAGAAATGCACAGTGTACACCTACGTATGAAATTTTGTTTTAAATCTCTAAATGCTTGTGTGTTGTTTTTCAACACATGTGTCGCTTCTTGAATTTTGTTCCTCAATGAATTTTCATTCATTCTTGGGCGAATGTTATGTCTTTAAAATATCCCCAAACAAAAAAATCAATGGGGTTGAGGCGGACCACAACCTGAGCATTACCCAGACCACCGTGTTTTTATTAACACACATAACACTTTCATGGCAGGCCGCATTCCAGGACGAGGAAGCAATGAAGGATATCCTACAGCTGATCCGGATCGCAGAGAAGTAGTACTTGAAGAAATTAGCCGGAATCCCTCAACGAGTACGAGATCTATGGCACAAAACCTTAGAATACCACGAACATCGATACAAAATATTCTTCATGAAGAAGGTTATCATGCCTATCATGTTCAAAGAGTTCAAGCGTTGATGCCTTCAGATTACCAGTTAAGAGTGGATTTCTGCGAGACAATGCTGCGAAGACAACGAGAGGATCCCGATTTTTTTGATAAAATTTTATGGACTGACGAGTCACGTTTTGAAAGAACAGGGATATTCAATATCCATAATTTACATACTTGGGCTGTTGAAAACCCCCACCAGTCAAGGCCGTCGACATTTCAACACCGTTTTAGTGTGAACATGTGGTCAGGAATATTCAATATGGAATTTATCGGTCCATTTGAACTGCCGTCAAGGTTGGATTCGGTAGCCTACAAAAGCTTCCTTGAAAATAGCCTACCATTATTGCTGGAAGATGCAAGCCTGGAAGCCAGACGGAACATGGTGTTCCAGAATGATGGTGCACCATGCCACAACGCAACGATCGTGCGAAACTACTTAAACGAAAGGTTCCCAGACAGATGGATCGGACGAAACGGACCGATACGATGGCCTCCACGCTCCCCTGACCTCAACCCCATTGATTTTTTTGTTTGGGGATATTTTAAAGACATAACATTCGCCCAAGAATGTGCAAATGAAAATTCATTAAGGAACAAAATTCAAGAAGCGACACATGTGTTGAAAAACAACACACAAGCATTTAGAGATTTAAAACAAAATTTCATACGTAGGTGTACACTGTGCATTTCTGTTAGAGGCAGACATTTTGAAAACCTCTTGTAAATAACATAAATGAATAATAATCTGCTGTTCAGTAAAAATCAAACGTGTTTTTGTGGTTTTTGCAAATTTTTTTTCCGAAACTAACAATTTCTATTGAGCAGAGGGTTATCCAATTTTGGGTTCGGTTCTATTTGAGCCACAATTACGGTAGCATGTAGTAAAGCTAGGTTGATGAAATTTTTACGGTAAATAGCTGATACCGTAAGGAAGTTTTTAAGATACTTACGAATAGTAAGAACATGTTTTTTCAATTTTTTATAAACGTTCAAAGTTGTTGCACTTTTTTACTTTTTTGTTATGTTCGAAGATTTTGAAAAAAATTAAAAAGTAGTATTAGTTACATGACTTGAATGATTATATGATAGTTAAGCCTTAGGTCTTAGCTACATAATCGTGAAAAAAGCAGGCATTTATCACAATTATTAACGAAGTTATGGTAAAAATAAACACAGAACTCAAAAATTCTCGAAAAATCCGAAAAAAAATCATAACTCCTAAACTAAATAAAATCGGACCATATATATGGGGGTGATTTGGGTTCCTCTCGATGTGGAGAATCTAATTTTTTTTTATGACGTCACGTGTTTGGCCACCCTGTATATATTAGTAGCAATGAAACAAGGCAAAGCAATACCGTTAATCTCAGAAGTATTGAACATCGGAAAAGCTTTCAAAAAAATTGTGTACAGATGACTTCATTACAAAACCAGATAAATTTATGCAGCGCTTTACAACTGAAAATGCAGCAAATCTCTTATACCTGTACTTTTCATCTTATCTATACTGTTACTACGAGAAATAGGAAAGAAAAAAGTTCCTTCGTTGAGGACAAATGAAAATACCGTGCTAAGGCTCTATGTTTACATTAGCTCATATTCCCCTTTGATTTAGCCTCAAAGTTATCCTGAAAATTATTGGAATACCTAGACACAGATAGAGAAGAAAGAGGTAAGCAAGCATTGTACTAATTTCTATGATGACAAACATCCTTATGCTTCTTCAGCCTCACTTGTACACTAATTTTATTGAACATTCACCTTCTGAGTAAGCAAAGGACAAAAGATGAAATGAAAGAAAATTATCAAAAATAAAAACTTACATCCTATAGGCATTGATGGTTTTAGACATGTTTCGGTGTAATCCGGAAGTGTCCTATGAAGTTCACTCTTATCATTACCACTATGACGAACACTAATGCCGCATTACATGTATAAAAAAGACGATGCAACTACTTTGATTGTTTCACGAAAGGCGTTATGAATACGAGCGAAAAAATTCGGCTACAAAAATATCACTTCATCAAGCTCAAAGCGTAAAATCGAGTCTCATCAATTCTTTAATACTCTACGAATACCTTATTGTTATCTGTAACAAAAAGAGAAAACAAGTTGGTTTAGTGACATGTTTAGCTAAGAAACAATAATAAAAGGTTTTTTGAGTTTTCTTCACTTCGTTAACATAAATGGAGAAAAAAAGAAGGCATCAATGATACTTCAAATATTTTCCCTAATATACAGGCTGACAGAAAAGTGAGTCACGCTAGTAACTCTTTGGAATTTTGAAGATATTTTACAAGATGCTTTAACCGACTTTCATCGATGAGACGATCAATATAACAGACTTGTCCCTTAAATTTCAAATAAAAAACATTTTGATGTAATTGGTGCTTAAGATTAAAATTAGGTTATCGAAGTCGTCAAATGTTAGTTTCTTCGATTAATTCGTATTTTTTAAAAACACATCTCAGAAATTTGATGAATTCAATATCCAATGGCTTAATCCCATACGCAATAATGCGCGTCAACACTTCGATCCCATTCGAGAACAACATGAATGAATTGATGAAAAGATGACGTCAAGTAAGTTGACTCTGTACTTTCCACGCAACGCTGTCATCAGTTCGTGAAGGATTATGTTTGGCTCAAGTTAGCCCTTCTGAGAAAAAAGTTAGCTACAAACAAGTATAACAAAAAATTAAATATATTTCCTCCTCTCCGTGAGAGAAATTCCTGCAGACGCACAAGATCATTACAACGACCAATCCCGCGTGATTGCGGAAGCGATTGCCGACTGTAAAGTTCGACGCTCGACCATCGGGGGACCTATGATTACTTAAATATGCGTAAATGCACCAACGTCAAAAAATTAAGATATACGCTCCCCCAGCCCCTGCAACCCTTAACCCCCAAGTTTTAACCCCTACAAAAAATTTTCCGTAAATGATCACGATCCTCTGAAATGTCAAAAACGAAGTTTGAGCGATTTTAGTTTTTTTCGCTTTTAAAACACTACTATGCTTTTTCGTCTTAGATATACTAGCAACATTGTGTAAATAAAAAATTCTTCAAAATCAGAGCGCCAATCCTCAAGTTATAGGCAGGCAGGCAGGCGAAGATGAGTGACATGGTTTTTCGTGATGGACATGTCATATAACACCCAAAAAACATAATATCTAATCTTCGAAATTTTTCGCGATTGTAAAGACGTTCACAGTAGACGATCAAATGTGTTCTCATTTACGAGCCTAAAATCGAATCTTAACTAACCACTTCCTACTACAGACCTAGCAGAAACAAAATAGTATCCAATGTTACCATAAGAACTGGGCGTTAAAAATATTTGTGAAAGTATGATTGGAGAGATTATATTTCGTATTATCATATGTTCATAGATAATTAGATATAATGATAGGTCATAAAACTCTGTAGGATTATAGTAAAGAGAAAGGTAGACTGCAGAGGAATGTGGTCCATGCCATCAGATATAGAAAAACTGTAGTAAAAAAATGGTGTGTTCATTGAAAAGTTGCGATTACTAAGTACAAAGGTAATAAATGACATTCAGATCTCATGAAAAAAAAATTATCGATTTCCTATCACATCTTCAGGTGTTTTGAAAATATTAGGAAGAACAGTTGTGTGAAAGGTGTGGACGCTTGAGAGCTCTGTATAACAACATGAGAGCAAGGTTTTTCCCAAATATACTTGGGTAACGGATAAGGATATTAGGGGGTTATTAGAGGTTATTGAATAAAATTTAGGAATAAATATCCCAGAAGCTCACCGAAAGCCCACAATTCAAAAGATCACTACGTCAGTGAAGCGCCTAGATCTCAAAATTTAATTTGATTTCTCCTTTGCTATTGGAAAACATACCGCGCAATCTTATTATATTAGTTCTTCCACGGTTTCTAAGCGTGAGATATAACCTGATTTTGGGCACATCTTAAAAAGATAATACAAGAAAAGTTTAATTACAATTGCCTCTACTTTGTTACAACTCCTATATAAATATGAAAATGGATGGAACAACATAAATCTGTAGATAGTTGATAAGGATATATATCACTTCAATTAAACTTTCAATTGGTAGCTGCATGATATATAAAGATCACCTCCAGCATATATACATCTTTAGTTTATAAGTAGGTATAACCTGCTAGCTTGAGTGCAAATGTTAACTACTAGTTGAAAATTAAGTGAAGTTAAACACGTTCTTATATACGTTTCACAAATAGTATTTTCTATGGGTTATTCATAATCATAAATCTTAAATAGTTTAGCACAATTACACTATTAACTGACTGGTAGAACCATATTTGTAAAATATAAATAATAGGGGCCTTCTAAAGTTTACCATCCAGGAAGAGACTTACACGAAAAAGTGTTATAACGATTTTGATACAACATAAATTCTCCATCATTTCTATACGATTTTACCATACGGTTAACAGTTTACGGGAAATTTAACGTCAAAGTTACAAGTAATTACACGTACATACCAAACTTATAGACGCTGTTATTACTTCTTATAGTGACTAAAATTTGCTTCAAAAAAGGTATACATTTTTTCGACAGCTTGATTGTTCTCGAAGTATAAGAAGTGAAAGTTAAAATTTTTGTATAAAAACATTGATGCGGCATGCTCCGCATGTTATATACGCTGTCTAGGTGCTACACAACATTATTTCACTCCAGGATAACTCCATACTCATTTTAAAGTGATCATTTTTTACTAGCACAGTATATTTTTTCTGTGGAGGGAAAAAAGTTTGACATTTTATCTCTGTTGACATGTAACAAAATGTCACTTTTTATGAAACTACTTTTTTCCCCGGGAAAAAAATGAGTACTTTTCTCCGGATATTGTTTCGCAAATTTTCCGCGATTTAGCTGGCAATAATTTTTGTGACGCTACTTTGGCTACTTCTACTAATTCCGTTGGAGTCAAAGAAAACTCGGAATCAGACATTTTTTACTTTATAGTATTAAAAATAACTTTCTAATCAAATCACAAAATTAAATTGACAGCTATGTGATTACTTTAAAAGTTTCCCTAGCAACGCAGGTCTAATTGTCGCTAGAAGTACAACAAAGCCTACTAATTTCAAAATTAAAATTTCACATCAATAATTTTCTTACTTAAATATTGTAATAATATAATTTTTCAATGTTAAATCGTCGTTTTTCCCGTCACAGAAAAAAATTGTGTGTGTGTGTGTATTATTCACGGGAAAATACTCGATTTTAGCTTAAAATCCAGTACTTTTTTCCCTTGTATAATAAATTAATTATATATTATATATTTTCATAAAAAGGGGTTAACTGAACAGTTGTTCTAAAAAAACAACTGCCCCTAATCCTCTAAGACCATAATAAAGCGATCTTTTCTCTATTTGGTTCCAAAGACTTAAACTTAATATACATTATTTTAAAAACAAACTATCAAAATGGATACGCGCCCAAGGAAGACAACATATTGAATTCCTATCAAATATTCCCTAAAAAATATCATCCTCTACATATACACCCAAAAGTTTCTTTTAACTTTTTTATTTGATTTTGGAACACATTCCAACTAACTGATCATTCACAGGCATTGTCCTCCTGTGGATCGAAGCGTTTATTTACCCATTCTGTGTTATTGTTTTTATATAATAGGGTAAATAAATGACTACTACTACTTCATAGACCTGAGCGTCTAGGAGGGAGGGGGAGCTCACTGTATTGTGCAACATCCCAAAATAACGAAGAAAATGAGCATTTCAGGAAAAAATAACTAACAGTGAAAAAATGAGTCTATGGACACCGTGGAGTAGTAGCAAATACCCAGTCGAGAATGATGAAGCCTTCAGAATCCAACACGGGGTAGGACAGATTTTATTAGATTTTTTACTAACTACTGCTTGTCCAGAGGACCTGCAGAAAAAACTGTTAAATCTCTGATTTCATGGCCCGAGTATTAAAAGGCCACCTACTTGATCAATAAATACGGAGTCCATAGTGGTGTTTCTTGTTGCTAATGATGATACACATTTTCTGTAAGAGCAGGTAATGAAACGAGTATGTATAAATAGAATCGTGGCATAATATCATACTGAATGGATTTACTGAAGCGAGACGGTTGATTGAAATCGGGATAGCATGAAGGCTTATGTATATAAAGCGAATCCAACCTCAATGAAGCATGTTTCCAAGATTCGCTGGACTTTGCTACCAGTCGAGAAGGGAAATATCGATTTCAGCTAGTTTTATGCTTCCATATAAAAGATGAAATTGCCTGTTGTGAATGAAATGTGGTGCAATTAAGGCTATGCGGCCAGAGTCACAAAAAAGAAAAATTTGGAAACGTTGCTCTTGATTCTAGATCAGGAGGATAGCGGTTGTTTAGCAATTAATAAACCACCCGGGTCTGTGCTTTTACTCTACCACCTCCCATCTTTTTTTTGATATCAACTAGGAAGCAATAAAAGGGATTTAGATAATCTTGAATAGGGAATTATTGAACCACTCCATAAGGCCAGGCACTAGTAGGACTAGGCAATATTTTGACGAATGTGACTAGATATTTAAAATTTCCGGAAAATTTGTATGCCGGAAAAATTAAGGAAAAAAAACGAAAAAATTGAAATTTGTTATATACAAGATAAAAGTATTCTGGTTACTGATTTTTCCATTAATACAGGGTGTCCGCAAAGTTGGGGTTTTCCTTTTCACGACGTGTAGATCTTGAAAACATAAGCAATTTTTCTTAGTACCATATACACCAATGTGTTAAGGGAACCGAGATAAAGGGCTCTGCAACATCAAAAATATCTGAATACCGCCCTGTAGCCGCGACCCGCGACATCACCGATTGGTACAAGGTCACTGGCTCAACCCGACTACAGAACTGGGTCGGGGTCAGTGTGTCAGGTCAGTATGCAACCTTCAACCGACGGTTACGGTCACGCGTGTAGAGGTAATCGCGTAGACGAGAATCCCTCAACAAGCACTAGAGACGTGGCTAGAGAAATGCAAGTATCAAAAACTAAAGTGTGGAAAACGCTGCGTGAAGAGAGGCTGTATCCGTTTCACGTCCAACGTGTACAAGCCCTTCAACCTGACGATTTTCCAGCAAGAGTGCGGTTTTGTGAGTGGTTGTTGCATCAACATGACAATAATCCGGACTTTTTTAAGTGCATATTGGTGACAGACGAATCTACGTTCACGCGTAATGGGGTGAATAACTTTCGCAACACTCATGTTTGGTCGGTAGAAAATCCGCACGCTGTCCGTCGGACACATTTTCAACAAACATTTTCGGTGAATGTTTGGCGTGGCATGGTGAACGGTATGCTCATTGGACCATTTATTCGCCCAAATCGATTGGACGGGATGCAATACCTAGACTTTTTACGCAACATTTTGCCTTCCTTGTTAGAAGATGTGCCATTAAGTGTAAGACAATCAATGTGGTTTCTGCGTCTGCTCGGTAGCGCATCAGCTGATTTCATTTTCTGTTGGAGCGGTATGATTTCGGGCAGAGACGTACTTAGCCCTTCTCGTCAACTGGAGAGTGAGTACTTTTTCCTTTATTTTTTTTTACTTGGTCGCCCTCGTTTCACTACACATTACCTTTGTTATTTCAAGGGTAGTTGTTTCTGAAAAGGAAAACCCCAACTTTGCGGACACCCTGTATAAATCAAACAGAAATAATTTGAATTAAAACCGCAAGCTACGGCTCTGAAGGATTAGTTCTCGGTAAATACCCGTCGATTTCCGGTGAATCCCCGACCACTACAGCTTTCGGTTAATTCCCGATCACGCACAGCGACACGGCATTTCGGTAAATCCCCGTATTCCTGAATTGTTCAGTTGAGAATGAGATTCTTCAATATTGACACGTCTTGTTTATTTTAAAGCACGCATTTTAATTTAGCCTTATCATAAGCGCAGTAAATGAATAATACAAAGTGAAATTTTGCTGTAATAATTGAGTGTGTTTGTTCTGAAGATTGTTAGTGTTGTTGACCCAAGTATTTGTTTTGGTTTCTGGTAAGTGAATATTTTATTAAATTTGGAATAGCTTTAAGTGTTTTGAAGGTGGGATTTCAGTTTCCTTGCATATTTTCCTTACCTTTCTTTATTACCAATATCAAGATTCAATAATAATAATTATTATCTGTATACTCATTAAATTACAAGAATTTGATCAGTTGATAAAGTGCAGCAAGATATTTTATTTATGTATTTTTTTCTTGTTGCAGAACAATATGGTTCGACCTTCTTCAGATATTTGGCAATTATTTGATATTGAAAAAACAGATAAAAAATCCAAGGCTGTCTGTAAGTTATGTATGTATTTATTTTTACAAAATATGTTTAAAAAACTTTAAAATTGGTACCTATTTTTTACGTTTCAAGACACAATTAAAAAATATTTAAATTTTCCCATTTTTACAATTTTTCCCATGGTCTGGAAAAAACGTGTTTTTTCCTAATTTTTCCCGTTTTTTCCGATGTGTTAAATCTCTAACTGTGACTGCCACAAATAAAATGTAAAAACACTGTTATTGATTTAATGGTTACCCACGTCCTCAAGCGTCTCGATGACAGTTGTTAGCACATCAATTTTAATATGTTGTACCTAGCAAAAACCGCCGTCTGAAGTTTGAAGATGAAAATCACATGGGAAGATGACAATCAAAATCAAATAACCAAAACCATCCAAAACACAACCATCAACTTAAAATAGTGGGTTTGAAAGTGTTAACACCTGTGAGGGATGTCAAAGTTGTCAAGAACTTTTAATAGAACTGTGTTTTTATTCCTCCATATTAGAGGCTGTCACTATTTTCGTTAGTGGCGACCGTAATAGTGATGCAAACTGCGCATGTGTCAAAATACTGCCTACCACTAATAGTGCCTGATCATATAAGTGATTCAATTCAATCTCGTAATATTAGGCGTATAAATCATGCCGGATTGGGTGTAAGATCATCTGCTTTCAATACCTGACAAGATGACAAGTGACATTTGCTTTGGTGGGAAGTTACCCACAGAATTTCTAAAATAGGTTTAAAGTGTTACATTTTTAATATATAACTATTTGGCCTATCCTGTTAAGAGGATAATCCCAAGTGTTTATATAGGGAAACAGGTGCCCATAATCTAAATATAAGGAATATTTATTTTGCAGAGCTTCAACGAAAAGAGGAATAGATACGAAAAATACAAAAATGATATTAAGTAGGTTGGCTCTGCACTTGTCATGCAACGCCGCCATTAGTCTCCATTAGTCTCCATCAATTTGACAACACTGCGAAATGTCACTACCGATAGTACCAATCAACGTTGCGATGATTAACCGGCCCAACTCCCAAAAAATATCTCCTATTTTCGTTGCGCTCGATCGTGTTTTGTTAATATTTCTATCATTTTAAGTCTTAAGGGCTAGTGTAGATGAGTATAAGTATAGTAACGTCAATAATTAAGATATACCCTCCCCTACTCCCTATAAACCCCACCCGAAATTTTGTACCCTTTAGGAACATTTTCCAAAAGCGATCAGGAGTCTCTAAAATGCCGAAAAGCAATGTTTGAGTGATTTTTATTATTTTCGTTATTTGTCCGAAGCTCCCCCGCCACTGGATGATTTCTTAGGAATAAGAAGTAGTAACCTTGTATCAAAATTTCATCTACATCCGAACGGTACTTTCCAGATTGTAGAGAGGCCAAGGATAAGCAGACAACTCAAATGCGGTATATGAAAACCTTCAATAATTAAGCAAGTGTATAAATTTTATGAAACTCCAGTATCAGTATTTTAAAATTGTAATAGAATAGTATCTTCCACCAAATAAATGAGAGACATACAGTTGACAATTAGAACCTCTTTTTGATGTATCCTACATGACATCATAATGAAAAACGTCACATTTTTCACGAATACCTTTTTCGATTAAATAAGTTTTCCTTGACAACAATGGTCATAGATAATCTGTGCAATCGTGAACGAAGGCTTAGCGATTGGTTTAACATAAATGAGAGTCAGGACTATCCTAAAGAATACTGCCTGCATTTACGAAATTCGAAATTTTTATGTTTACATGTAATTCGAAGCATCTTTTTATCTCCATTAATGCTAAATAACTGATAAAAAACCTACAAACAATAAGAAAATTTGTTATATTATTATTTGCTTAATGCTAAATAATTGATAAAAAACCTACAAACAATAAGGAAATTGTTATATTGACAATGAAAACGCATTTTCTTTATTGCTAGTGTGAAAAAATATTACTCCAAGCTGAGTTGAAAAAATGAAAGATATTAAATACCAATTATTTATAGTTTTATATCAGCTAGCATAGAAATTAATAGAAAGAAAAATACCACATAAAAAACAACAGATATATCAAATCCTGTTGATACGTTCCCTAATTCCTAATCGCCTATATACATACATACATGCATTAAAACATCACGCGAAAATCAATATTATCAAATGTATGTATAGTAACCGTGCTAATGCTAAACGTTTAGGTTATGTGATGGTTTGGCGAAAGCCTTCTTCATATCACATTTTCACGTGCTTTGTTCGGGGATGGTCCGCGTAAAAAGCGGGGTGTGACGATGACCATAATCGCGACGTAGGGGGACTGACGGCACCCCGACGCCGACGACGTTGAATGGCGCGCCGCGTCGCAATCGAATATGCGTCGCGCGGTGTTGCCAGATGACGCGTAGCGACGGGGTGCTAGGATAGCTTTTCGGACGGGGATTACGGATTCACGGCTTGACATTACAAAACTGACTTGATTTCAAATAAATTTCAAAACAGGTTGTTTTTTACACACACGCAGCCGCGCAGGCAGAAGCCTAAATGCCAGGGCAACGCGGCTGCTATGAGGAGCTTAAAGAAACTTTGCTGATTCGATTTTTGAACTGCTTAAGGTGCAGAACAGGGATGGAGATTGTTCCACAATCTTGATACCCTAGGGACAAAGGAGCGGGCGTATCGGCCAGTTCTGGATGTACGTCCAGGAGAGTACTGAGGAGCAAATCTCATTGGCGCAGCGGTAGAAGACCGGTAGATCGCCGACGGCTCGTCGATGCGAGAGGGTTAGAGAAGAGTCATCGATCAGTCGGAGAGCTCTCCTCTGAGCATGAATAATGTAGTCGGGGCAGCAGCACCCCAAACGTGGGAGCAACACTCGAGGCTAGGCCTTATCTGAGCCTTGTATAGAGTGAAAAGGTCATGTGGAGAAAAGTACCTCTTAGCCCTAAACAAATAGCCTAGCTTTTTCCCATCAGCTTGCCGCTATTGATGAGATGTGGTCGGGCCACGTTGTGGAAGTTATTATCAAGTACATAATAGTCATTAGTTGATTAAAAATACTTGATTTTCCAAAGCGTCGTTGTCATTAAAAACGAATAAAGACAAAGATGGGCACATTATTATCAAAGTCAACTACAATAAGTAAAATAAAATATAACATGAAAACAGAGCATACAGGCTGTGGAAGCAAGTTTGTAGGCCGTCAGGTCAAGTAATTCCAAAAAATATCCAATCGAGATGACTTGATGGGGCTAATGGGGCTATAGGGTGGTCAGGGTTTAAATTGACAGTGAAACGGTAGGTAGTAAAAACCAAGGAATGCAGACAAGTAGGAGCCAGTGAAAACCTTTTTGTTGTCTGCTTATTCTCATAGCCTGCAGTGAGATGGACATGGCGTTTTTTGACAGTTATGTCATATAATTCGTAGTTTTATTGTTATTTTTTAAAAGTGTTCACAGATAATTGAGGTGTTAGAGGATTTCAAGACGTGCTACATAATTCAAAGAGCAACACAAGCCTTCAATAAGTATCATTATATTGATGAATAGTTGTCACTTTGGTAGGCATTGGTAGACAAACAAGTCAAAAGTATGCACTAAAACTACGCAATTTTAGCGACCAACATTACAATGTAAACAAATAGGCTTGGTTCCTAATCTATTCCGATTCATTGGTATGAACCGATGCCTTTTCATATCTGAAAACAGAAAAGTTCTGAATTGGTTTTGAAAAGATATACCTGTATGGTGATTCACCAAAAGACGCTTTAATATCACATAACTCAAGCACTAATGGTCCGACTTGAAAATTGATGAAAATTTGCCCTATGACGAGGTTACCTAGGAGTAACATAAATCTAGACGGACGGTTGAAAGATTCAAGGTCAGTCTCATTTTTTACCTGTTTTGCGTTTTATCAAAATCAACACACTTTAAGCTTAATATTGAAATGTTTAGATTATGCACAAAAAAGCCAATGAATGGTGCTTGTTAATTAATAAAATAGATTTTTTGCGCCTCTTTTGCTTTTTTAATAAAAAAAAACATTTATTCAAATATCTTATTTCTATCAGTTCATGTGACACAGAGCTCAAAACTTCAAACATAACAACTCCATTTCATCAGCACTTTTTACAAAATGGTGCTTAGACTTGATCTAGAGATCTAGTGTCGAGCGGAAAATGTATTTCTATTGGACCGATTGGCTCTATGTCGGATTTTCTGCACAATTTCTTATCATCCACAGCCCACAGCAGGCGTAGGAGAATCTAAGTATATGCAAAATATGGATACAGAAATGGAGAGGGCCGACAATAAGGAAAATTAAAGGGCTGAATCCTCCGGTCCCAGTAAAGGGAGGCCCCGAATTTTAGAGGAGCTCGAAGTGAAAGTAATACCTTAGCACAAAGTGTAGACTGTAGAGTGTATAATATGTATTGTAAGGCACTTTTATAGCACAGTTCTTTTAGGAGGTGTTGTTAAAGTGTTTAAAATTGCACGCCCAATGAGGGAAAGGAAACAAGAAAAGCGAAAGTTTTTCAGTGGATCCTTTCATACATAATCATACCTGTATAAGAGCCCGCGCGCTGGAACGATGCGAAGTGTATCACGTTTGACGTGTGCATTGGAAAATTGGGCATAAAACAGAATTCGTCGTTAATACGAAAATAGTTTCAATTTTTGTGTAAATGTAGCTGGAAGATAAATTTAATCCGGATTATTTCAATATTGAGGAGTACTTAAAAAATACCAGTAACAAATCTGTAGCAATAAAGATATGATGTGTTGTCGGAAAATATAGTAACAGAGTCTGTAACAGGTCAAACTCAAATCCGACAGTTACTGAAAATCGCCCTTTCGTCATATCAGCGACAGTCATGAGCGAGGAATAACAGCACAAATAAAAGTCATTAAAAATATTTAACTTACTAAGTACTTATTTAGAAGATGAACGACCAATCCATGAAACAAAAAGCGGACATGTTTTTGCCTTTACTACAAAGTAAGGTTTTAAGAAGCAGACCTTATGCAAAATAAGGACAACTGACAACTCTGGCGTCACAAAATGCTACGCCAGCGCATGAGGGGCCAAACAGAATCAGCGATGTGCCGTCGCAACTACACCATGGAGATATCGCGCTAAACACCGTTTTGCTATGGCAAACAAGATCCATAAAACAGAAACGTGACAGGAAATTTATGATGGATTCATGCAAACTTAAACATGTCCTTATTAATTCTTCATTCCAATCATTATGTTTGAAATAAGCCTTCAGGAATCCACCATTAGATGCAATCTCTAATCTGTATTATATTTTTATGAAGATATAATGTTAAATTACAGTCCAAATGAAACGATTTTTAATAAGAGACAAGTTCAGATATTCAGAATTACAAGAGAAAGAAGAGAAACGGCGTCCTTTTCAACAGGTTGCTTCAAAATTGTTGCAAAGTTATTTTGCATTATACAATAGATGTAAACAAATCGATTATGCTACCATGTAAGTCAGAAAATGTTTATATTGTCAAAGTTTCACTCTTACAGCAGCTGGTGCTATTATAGTGTTTATTATTTTTCTTTTGAAGGAACTGAGTAAAAAATAAATTGGATGAACATGATTGATTTGATTTTTTGCCGTTCCCACATAATGAGAGCTGTGTTTTGATTTGGAAAATAGGTTTTATGGAAATCATTGGGCTCATGCAACTCAGTAAAATTTTCCATTATTATTTGTAAAAGCAGGGAAAGATATAGTGGGCAAGCAAACATAATTTTTGGTTAGTTATTGACATCATAATATAGACCCTATTTCACTAGTATCCATCACGGAACAATGACACCTAGTTATCTAGTAATATTACAAAATTTCTCATATCCGCACAGGACACATAATTAATTCCGAGGGATCGGTGAATTTCAGGTAGACAGACCCGTATTTTGTTGTGGTTCTTTGTACGCTACAGATTCATTTTGTACTTGATACCAACTCTTTTATTTAAAAAAGATTCTTTGCATAAACGCTACAAGCACAATGGCTGCTAATGACCATAACTACATTTCAAGTCAGGTAGGAATAAAATAAGAAAAACAATTTTTGACTAAATTAATTATATCTACTTTTTAGAACTTGAAACACCATATGATCTTAAAGGGCAATGAAACAGCCATACGTTTAGTTCAGAATATGTGGCAGTATATGACCGAGTTCGATTCCCTCAATAAGGTCTGAACATTACTCAGGCAATTCTAACAAGTAATAAAATAGAAAAATGTAAGTAACTATTGCAGGAAGTCATGAAATGTACAGAACTGGGACAATGCAGTGTTCGTGAATACAGGCATGGGCCAATTGTTCAGAACTCTGCAAAAATCTAAAGGAAACGCAAACGTAGTTTATAATTTTTCCAAAGAGAGTGAGATATTCATAAGGATATACTAAGTCAGCAAACTGATGCTATGCCATCATTACATATCGAGAAAATGGGAAATTCCAGGAAGTATGTTTTATTTTTATTTTGCTATTTGAGTGGTATGATGCATTTGATGTATCACAATATGGCATGGTGGTGGGTCGTTTTCTTAATTTTGAGTGAATGTATTAGTTTTGATGCGATTAGTGATGTGCTTTTGATGGATTACGTTACACTGATGACGGACAATAAACCAGAAACACGTGTCTATAATATTTTTACAGATAAATTTACAGCTTCTGGAGGGGACTACGCAACCGGTTCTATTGACATACTATGTAATCAATAAATCCCAGGTGTGCTATAATAATTTTCTAATAAACTTTTCAGTATCTGTACTTGTACATTTTATTGTCATATTTCTCATCCACTTAAAAATATAACCCTGATATGTGAACAACAGCTCTGAATACTGTCCCAAAATTCATTATTGCTAACGTTACAAATTAACACAAAGATGTCCCTTTTGTGATCAGCTGTTCACCTCATAGCATGATGGATACTCGTGAAATAAGGTTTTTTAACATTCCAATGTCTAACCTAACAATGTCCAACCAGTCTACTCTTTCCAGAGAAATACCATCATACAAAATATTTCAACTATAGAACCTCAATATATAACACACTTACTTGCTCAAAATGTGGAACAATGGTTAGATTCACCAATTCATCATTTATTGGACAATGCGCTTTTCACACAATCAACCAGCTCAATTGAAGTGTCCTGTATAGTCTGGCTTGAAGCCATACCATAGACACTGATTTTTACTTAACTTAATAGATATGAATTGCACTCAAATGAGCCAGACAATCCACATGATCTATCACCACTACATCCATGGCACGGAATATTATTTCCGATGGCGGGATTCGAACCCGCGGCCCGTGTAGCCAATGTATCAGGAGCTCAACACTCTGACACACCATGCTACCCAAGTATCTATGGTTAGATTCAGTTGCATTCAAATTGATTGACTGAAGTAATCTATGTGAAATAGATCATATAGAGCTGTGCTATAATCGGTATCACAATACTTCCTTAGGTTTTAACATCCATTCAGGTATCTTTGTGCTAAAGTCTATACTGTTGGCAATAATGATTCGGGTAAAGCTCACGTGAAACCCAGGTCCCTATTCAGGAAGTGGAGATGGTTAACATAGTAAGAAACTGTTTATTATTTTATTATTACCTGACTTGAAATATAGTAATGATCGTAAACAGAAATATTGTTGTATCATTCTCCTTTTTTATGTAGGAGCTGCTTTAAATGAAAGAGTAGTTAGAAAGTATGAACCCATAGAATACAAAAATTGTATGGGGTATTTTGAATATTACTGATATTTGACTGCTGTAGTAAACCATACTTCAGTGCTAACTCTTATAGACATAGATAGAGTATAGGATAAGAGATATGAAGACAGTTACATATGGACAAAGTTATGCATTCAGGCAACTAAGAAAACAGAATGTAGAAAATTTTGCAATTCCAAGTATTTCCGCAGATACACGAATTTACCCAAAATCGTTTTTATTTTTTTCTGTAGTATCAAGAGGTTTTAGGAACAAAGACAAGAAACTAATATGAATACCCTTAAATATGTATCCATTTTTTTTGGGCCCTCTTGGGACAATAGTAAAACTTGTAGCTAATGCTAATCAACCTACTCCCTACCCTAGCCAGATAATGAGATAATATGATTTTATCTTGATTAGCATTTCATATTCTACTAATTATTGAACTATCAAGACATGTCATTAAATCCTTGGATCATTTCAGCTGCATAACATACATTATTATTTTGCAATAGATCAAAGAACATATTTCTAGAAAGTCAAATCATATACATTTGTTGAGTATAACTAAGAAAATTTTATGCTATTAGAACCAATTAAATATTGAAGCATTGGTGTTTGAAAGTTAAATGTTTACCCCTATAACAGTTAAAAGAGCCCAAAAAGCAGCCTCACTAGTTCAAATACAAAATTTTCTGTATATTTCCTATATCTAAGATGTAATGATGAAAATTATCTGAAGGGAACAAAAAAATGCTCAACTTTATACACAAAACCAAGACAAATATGCAACTTTAAAGGACAACAGCCACTCATGTGTTTGGGCATAGGTAATCATATGAAAGTTTGTCAGACTATACAAAGATTAATGTCATCCAAAGCTGTACCACAAGGTAAATGATTTCCTGTGAGAATCAAATCAGCCAATTCTTCCTCAACATATTTACATTATTTAAATCTCTACAGTTCTCTAGGTAACACACTGTACTGCTTGAGAACAAAATACAGTACAAACAGCTACAATTAGCATCATTAACCTTGATCCTTAGTAAAGCAAGGAACCAAGGTGGTTTATCCAAGACTGTTAATAATATTAAATACTATAATCACAAAAGTGTGAGTGTGGCTAATTATTCAGGATTTTCTAATGCATATGAACAAGTCTGTTGAAATTAGTAGCAACAATCAGATGCTGACTCACCCAGTTTACATTCAAGATTACAGCATCGACATTTGCTGCTACAAGTGTTCTTTACATTAAACGTCTTTCTAGAAAAACTACGGTGTGCATTCTCCGTAACGACTTCCGATATATACTAGTGATACCCGAAAACGTTTCAAATAAAGGAAGGAACTACAGTTAGATCAGGTTACGATAAATAACTACAACTTTTACTTCTGGTACGATAAAGAAATTAACAACACAGTCAAGTAGTAGTAAATTTATGAATAATAAGGAATACTTGCAAAAAGTTTCACTGTTATATTTCCTCAAGGTAGCATATAATTGAAATATGAGATACTAATACGAACGCAACGTCCATAACAAAAAGCAAAATAGAAATAATTATCGGCATTTTATAAAAGAATAATCACCCCACTAAATGAAATAAATACATAATAAAAAACATACTCACGTTTTATCATATACACTATATTTCGATTATAATATGCACAATATTCCCGAATTTTATAAAATTATTTCCCCAACTATGGCTGCGCACCTTATTTTATTTTTCACTTTGACGTTTCCTATCTTTTCACAACTCTTGACAGTTGACGTTTCCCACTTCACACCAATCAGGGTGGCGCTCACGTGGCGCTGTTCACAAGTACGGGTAAAGCTAGAGGTGGGAGTCCATCAGATCTAAAAGAATGAATAATAGATAAAATGAGAACAACGATTTGGAATAAGTTTTTCACGGTTTTTGATGAATCATAATTAACATACAGTAATTATTTTCATACATGCAATCGCGGAAGCTTGTTCGTGTAAAGTCAAAGGCATACGTTTTTAGTTTTGCTTCACCGCTAATGAACATTTTCTAGTCAGCTATGAGTCTTCCACATTTATGCTTTTCACTGTCAGTATGAAAACTTGTTTGTAATGGTCATGTGATTTGTATTTACCCATGTCCCATGTTGATCTTCAATATGAGACATAGTATCTAATGCTTATTGTTAAGCTACAATGTATGAGAAATATTTTCAAAAGGTGAAAACGAAGGTCCTCTATCACCAAATTCATGTGTGTGTGCACCACCAAGTAGCAGCTACGTTACAGCTCGACTTGGACAGGCCACGCTTCATGACTGATGAATTACAAGTCCCGTTCATTACAACGTAGCGCTTCTGTAGCGATCACTTTGGACACTTTTCAAAAGCAATCTAACCAATCAAAGGTATTTTGATACGTTCACTGGGCTTGTCAGTTTTCGGATCTTGTTGAGAACTCGTTTTGTAGCTGTACGTGTAGCTTAAACATCAGCGAACAGCGATCATAGCGACCAAACGTGGAATGAACTATTTGCACACTAAAAACTACCTAGTCTGTAAGATGACATTTCGTCAGTTTTCGATGTTTTTTAGTTTTTTTACATAATACCCTGCCGATCGGTCCTAACGGCGCTCCATTTTAAGTCGAAATAAAAAGTCAGGATCCTCACAAATTCTACAGCATTGCAACGTTGGTTCGTTTGACAGCACCGCATCTTGTACATTCAATGGCAAGGTTTCCACCTCCATGATCATAGATGAGCGATTTTGGTCAGTACTCATCTAGCGCTCATTTGGGAGTATTGTCCTGCTTCAAAATAGTTTTTACCTGCGGACACGCAGACAGTGATAACTTGTATTGCGTAATAGTATTTGTTACGTTTTCAGACCGCTCGGTGTCGGAAAACAATAAATCAGGATGTGTTGATTTTATCGCCATCGGTGGAAAAGATAATGCTAAAATAAATTAAAACCTAAGTCGCATCAAAACTGAAATAAATAATTCTAATCAAAATGAAACCAAAATATTAGATGAAATCGTCAAAAAGACCTTCTTCTTGGGTTTGACAGTAACCCTAACCTATTGTAAAAGCCTGTGCGAACATTTTCTGGTGTAACATATTGACAACGCGGCAGATTGCACGACCTTCTGCATTACAGTTGCTAGGCAATATGGTAATGACCTTCGTTCTTCAGCCGGCTTCTATCTCTCTCTAACCTGTTTCACACTTCACGCGCTGCTCTCTCGTACACATCGAAGTCAAGCCGTCAGAAAATTAGGTTTTCCCTTGTAGATGGGGAAAACACATATTTGATAGAAGGAGAACATATTTTCCAAGTTTTAACGTTGGCGTAAACAGCTGAACAGCAATTGACATGTTTTTCATAACTTTAGATATAACCATCTGTTTCTATAGCTTTCTAGGCAACCCCTCCCCTTTAATATTAATCGTGTGTTATCCGCCTCAGGGAAGCTAAGCTAGGCACATTAGTCAACATTTCACAATTACTTATTTCGTATGGCAGGGACCCACAAAGGCAGTGTATGAATGTGAACGAATATTTGGTGAAGTGCCCTAAGGCAAACGATAAACAAACAAAAAGGTGGCAGTGGTTCTGCAGACCCTAAGTGAATATCACAAGATCAGTATTTACTGTGCCCTTCCAGTATTTATCATGAAATGTGATATTTATTGAGATGGGCGCTCACAGGGGAGGGGCAAATATTGAAAATCTTCAAAATTGTACACATGCTTATTGACTGTGTAGCCTGGACGTCAGTAATTATTTATTGACGCATTAGGTATCAAAAAAATGCACTGATAGTGATGTTAACGTCAATATATATTAAAAAATACATGCCACAGTAAATAAAGGCCGTGTGACATTTATCTAAGAACACAGACATCACATAGTCATAGCAGTAGTTTGTCGAACAAATGGTGGATACATCATCAGCTTTAAATTGAGCCGAGTGGCTATCTCACTAATCAAAACCTAAAGGGGTGTTAAAGAGGGCAACGTGTATAGCTCGTCCATGCCACGGCTGCTATGCTTGTCACGCGACTGTGAAATGTCTTACGTTGTCGTACTCTAATAATAGAATATTCGATAATAAATAACAGTAGCATACCCATCTCTATTCCTTTCACAATAGAAAAATATGGAGCTCAGGCAACCAGTAATTCACAATTAGCATAACAAATTACGAGGGGGATAAAAGATCTTAATAAATTATTTTGGGCGTTCTACTGACAAACTGAGGCCTCTATTGAGATATTATGGTAAAGAACATGAGTGAGAGCATTCGAATGAGCAGAACTGCACATAATGACTAATAAAATGTTTATCATTATCAAAACATATTTTATTACATTTTTCTACCGTTCAAATATCGCTTTCATAATGTAAAATATAGCATACAATAAAATAATTTAATAAAAACCAAGTATAATACATAAATCAAAATATCGCCAAACTTATAACGATGTTCCTAAGTAAATGTGCAAAACAGCATCAAAAACTTTGTGTAAAGTAGATAATGACAACATAGCGACATCTTTTGTTTGATTGAACCAATTTTTTTTCTGCTCCTCACAAAGCTGCAGAGATACTTCGTACAACTCGCCCTTCATGGTCTCGTTTATCTCCTTAACGCGATCGAGGGAAATCTCTAGATCTTCAAGTTGTTCTTCTAGGATTATGGATTGACTTTCAAGTTCCATCTTTTGTTGCTGTAAGCTGACGATATCTTCTTCAAGGGAGGAGTTTCGAACTCTTTCGTTTTGTAACTTGCTGAAAATGAAACAAAGTGTAGCCAAGTTTTCTCCAAAATATTGATATTCTCTGAAGAATCTTAAAAATCAAACTTATTAAGGCATAGATTGTAACTGGCTCGCCTTGAAACTTACGACCCAGTGGCCAATAGGAGAGCACGAATTCAAACATCGCGAGCTAGCATTTGTTTTGACGGGCCGTAAATGGAATTTGAATACATTATAATAAAAAATACACGTAACATCTTATCATATGGTTTAAATGGCGACAATCCCCATGCTTATCTGGCCAATAAAGCCACATTCGTTTCAATCACCATGGTGATCTTGGTGATTGAATCGATTGACAGTAAAGAAGATGCTGTCAATACATGTGGTTTTATTCGCTAGATAAGCAAGTGGGATTAAAAAATGCACCTATCTGAAAAATGGGTAATTTGGCAAGAAATGTGCAAGGGTTATTTATAAGTAAATAAAATGAGGTAAAATGAGGTAAAAGTGGAAAAACTATTACATGCGTATTTCATCGAACTGTTGCTCCTTTGCTCTTAAATTATTTTCAGTATTTTGGAGATTCACTGCAGTCGTTGAAATTGCTTGTTCCAGCCGGGATATGATATTATTTTGCATGTAGATTTCTTGCTCTTGACTGGAAATCTGGAACAATACAAATGTTTGTTTCTCAAATGAGATTAGTTAATGTTACGGAATAGTCGATTCTAGCGATAGATGGCGCTTCGCGATGTCTTATTTCGATAGATCACACACTTTGGATAGTCTATAGTTGCTATGCTTTCGTTCGCTGTCAGTTCCGAGCTAGCAGCCGTCGCGAGTATACACTTGTGCGACTGCGACCAACCCGGACTTACAGTGCGATCCTATTGTGATTTTCATCACGGTACGATCGCCATCCACGATGGCGAGAATAGAAAAGCTGGCGAGCCAGCTGAAGCAGAAGGAGGAGAACTTCGCAATGCTTGCTGAGCAGATGAAAAATCTGCAAGAAGCATTCGAGCAGGCGAGGAATGAGATCGATGAGGTGAAAAGGAAGCTCCTCAAAGCGAAGAGGAAAGCGAAGAAGACGGAGGAAGAAGAAGAAGGAGAGGACCAGGGAGACGAGGACCAGCAGCCTACGGAGAACAGGGACATGGATGCCCAAGATATCGACGAAGAAGAAGCCGAGAAAAGGACGGATGACACCGATTTCAGTGTCGCCACCAGACGGAGGAAACGGGTGCGAGTTTCCTCCTCCGAAGATGAGTCACCAAGGCAGCCAAAGATGCCAGCTGCTGCCACCAAGAAGAATCCTAGAGCAGCCAGGACCATCGTGCCCCCCATGGCAGGAACAGGAGTTCCGCCAATCAATATCGAGGGCACCGCTGATTGGTCATCCTTAAGCAGGATGATGAACAGCAAGGGGATTCAATTCTCCAAGGCGAGGACGGCGGGTACCAGTGTGAAGGTATTCACAAATCAACTGAAGGAGGACAGGATGGACCAGAAGGTCATTCGTGGGCTTCCCAGGGAGATGTCAGTCAATGACATCAAAGAGGATCTAGTGAGCCAAGGCATCGCAGACGCCGAGGTTCAGCAGATGACCTCAAGGACCACCAAGAAGCCACTTCCGCTCTTCCTCGTCAAGACGAAGATGCCGGAAAAGCTTGCAGAGATCCAGAGGCTGGCCATGCTCACGGTCAGCTTCGAGAGGAAGAAAAAGTCTTCCGAGCCCAGCCAATGTTACCGCTGCCAGCGGTACGGGCACACACAGCGGAACTGCCGTCTCGCTGAACGGTGCGTTAAGTGTGGAGAGGACCACAACAGCACCAGCTGCAGTCTGCCAGCGCCGCCAACAGGGCAACGAAACGCCAAGTGTTGCCTCTGTGGAGAAGGCCACCCCGCCAACTACAAGGGATGTAGTAAGGCCCCGAAGAAAGCTGCTTCTGCCCCCAAAGCAGTCCCCACCACAAATAGGACTTCTTACGCTCAAAAAGCGAAGAAACCTATGTCCACTTCTGCCCCAGCAGCCGCCACTGCTACTGGAACTACTGCGCAGAAGCAACACGGCGATGACAGACTGCTAGCAATGATGCAAGCCATCATAACCCGCCTGGATGCACTCGAGGCCAAGATGCAAGACAAGCACTAGACCCGAAATGACTTCAGGGCAAAACGTAGAATCTCTACGCATTATCTCCTGGAACATCAACGGATTCAGGGCACGGAAACCAGAAATCCAGGAGATACTAGACCAGTACCAACCAGAGGTGATGGCCATCCAAGAAACGAAATTGGATGCTGCCCATAGTCTGACGTTCCCGCGGTACGAGACGTACCGCTACGACAGAAGGGGCAGAGGTGGAGGAGTCGCATTACTCGTCAAACGTGCCTTGACGAGTCATGTCCTCGACGATGCCGCAGACATAAATGGGGACGGAATCACGGTCCAGGTCCATCACAACCACCGTCCCTACAGAATCACCTCCCTATATGTGCCACCAGGGGAGGCCCTAGACGAAGATGACATCGCTGACCTCCTGAGAGGCCCAGGAGCACGCATAGTCATCGGAGATCTAAACTGCAAGTCTCCGGCATGGAACAACAACGTCGAAGACAGGAATGCAAGGCAGCTCCAGGAACACGTCGATGCCCTGGGGTCATCGTCGGTCCGGAGCAACCAACCTACATTCCATTCGGCCTTGGGCGACCTGCGGTACTGGACATAGCCATCCTCCGCAACATCAGAGAGGAGTTCGAGATAGAGACCCTGGTGGAAGGATCGTCGGACCACAATCCGATTCTACTAACACTTGGCACAGGGTCTAGAACTCGAGATAGCTTGAGCACCAAACGGACGAACTGGAACCTGTACAAATCCAACGTCCAAAGGAACATCACTCAAATTCCAACCATCCGATCAGCGGAGGAACTGGACAACGCAGTAGAGCAGCTGGAGAATGCTGTCCTGCGAGCGCACGAGGACAGCACCCGCTCCGAGACTACGGCAGTTCCTAGACACCTAAATGGTCCAGCACCGCACCATATTAGGCACCTGATCAGGGAGAACAGAAGACTCAAGCGAGAACATCTCCAACTGTTGACAGAGGAGTCGAGAGTTGCGCGAAACAGAGCATCGTTAGCTCTGAAGAACGCACTCGCGGAACTCCAAAACAGCAGATGGAATGCAGCCTGTGCAGAACTAGAGACCCAGGATGGTACGGCCTGGTCTATGCAGCGAAAATTTCGTCGTCAGCGCACCACGATCCCCACTCTTCACGGCCAACGCGGCTTGGCCTACTCCAGTGAAGAAAAAGCCGAAGCATTCGCCGATTCGCTAGAATCCGAATGCAGACTCAATTACCATGAAGACGAGGACGACAACCACGAGGAGGCCGTGGAAGTCGCAGCCGAAAACATGAGGAGTCGACCACCTGGCCAGAAGACGGATCACCCCTCCAGTCCAGAGGAAATCCGTCTGATCATCCGCAGGTTGAAGGTCAGAAAGGCGCCGGGAAGGGACGGCATCAACAACAGGATGCTGAAGAACCTCCCCACCAAAGGCATTGCTGCGCTCACCAACATCGCCAATGCCACCCTGAGACTTAACCACTTCCCGCGGCGGTTGCGGGAAGCCCAGGTTATAATGCTCACCAAGCCAGTCAAGGACCGGAAGTTGCCCCAGAACTACCGGCCCATCAGCCTGGTTTCCTCGATGGGCAAAGTAGTCGAAAAGGCTATCGCCGTTCGACTAGAGAAGCAGGCAGAAGAACTGCAACTTCTCCCCCCATAGCAATTCGGCTTCAGATCCTCCCACAACACGGAACTCCAAGCGCTACGACTGACGGAAAACATCACCAGCGGCTTCAATCTCCAGGAGGCAACCGGTCTCGTCCTGCTGGACGTGGAACGAGCCTTCGATCGAGTTTGGCACGATGGACTCATCGCCAAAATGGAAGCCGCCGGAATCGATGCGAACATGTGCCAACTGATCCAGAGCTATCTAACACAAAGATGGTTCACGGTGAAGATTGGTACATGCCATTCAACAAGACGACAGCTGGAAGCAGGCGTGCCCCAGGGGTCAGCCTTAGCCCCCCTGCTCTACAACATCTATACTCACGATGTGCCGAAGACAGCTGACACAATGCTGGCCCTATATGCAGACGATACTGCTATAGCCGCCAAGCATAGACGACCCGAGATCATCCGTAGGAGACTACAGGATGAACTGGACCACATCCAGGACTGGTGCGCGAAATGGAAAATCCGCATCAACGTCCAAAAGACGCAGGCAATCTTCATTCAACGAAGAAGGATTGCAAGACCTCTCGAAGCATCCATCTTCGACGAAGATATCCAGTGGAGCGACAAAGTCAAATATCTGGGGATCGTATTTGACAAGTCCCTCACCTGGAAAGCCCACATAGAAGCTGTCATCGCAAAGACCAGAGCAGCCATGGCTCAACTCTACCCATTACTGGGTAGACACAGCCGGATGCCGCTAGCGACCAAGCTACGTCTGATCAAGGCCATCGCCAGACCTCAGCTCGCTTACGCCTCCGCGGTCTGGGGGTACGCTGCCCCCAGCTACCGCAAGCGACTTGCTGCTCTAGAGATGAAGCTACTCCGGATCGCCACCAGTGCACCATCCTACGTAAGAAACTCAACCTTGCGTAGAGACCTGCATTGGGATACCATCCACGAGTACATGAGGAAAAAAGCGGAGAAGACCTTCGAGAAAGCTCAGGACCACCCGAACGAGCAGCTACGATTCCTCATGGACTACGATCCGGACGAGAGGCCTCGCAACCGCAGAACCAGGTACCCCAGACCAAGGTCCCAGTTGGCACCCGCTAACTGGAACCTTGACTAGGAGACTAGGGAACTCGCGGTTGCTCCCCCCCCCACGGCGTGGATGCAGAGGACCAGGAACCACCGGGACCAGGACCCACCGGGACCAGGACCAACCAGGACCAGGACCCGCCACGACCAGGACCCACCAGGACCAGGACCCTTCAGGACCAGGACCAGGAACAACATATTGGTAAGAGGACTTGAAACTCTTGATTTTTCGAAAACAAGAGTTTCAAGAGAACCAGCAGACCCTCTATCGATGATCGCTTAACGACATCGATAGAATGTGCGAGGTAAAGGGAACCAACCCGGCGTTCCCAGAGACTGAAACACATGAGGAGACGTTGTAGCAGACCGCAGGTCACGCACAACACATGGCCTACCGAGACGCTGATGAGTCAGGCCACGCGGAGGTTTAGGGTTTAGTGGGTATTAGGTGATCTCCTCAAGACCCTGGAGTCCCACACACGCCGTAGCTCGGGCTATGGTATGGTGCGTAAATGCATTCCCCCCTCACCAAAAAAAAAAAAAAAAAAAAAAAAACGTTCGCTGTCAGAGAGACCCTAGCCTAGACCATGCTGAGGAGTAGCGAAAAATCACGAAACAGGTGTCCATGGTTGGCTCTTTGGTCGGACGTATTAAAGCAGATATTGATTATTTTATTCTGTGAATGTTTCTCAGATCCACATCCTAGCCTGGCCAATTAAACTACAGATAATACAATGTTAAAAGGTAAACATTAGTTTTGCCTATTAGTGCTTCACAATTGAAAACAAGTCCAAAAATATCCAATATTATAAAATTGA